ATATCATTAAAATATTTACTTTTAAATTTTAAAGCAATAAAAAAAGTTTGTTAATACAAATTAACCTCAAAATTTAGAACATTGTCCTTAAGGTACATAATTGATATTTACTTACGTTAAAATGATCCTCGCAACAAAAAAATGTTGATTTTGATTTAGGAACATCTCGCCTGGCTGCTTTAAACCATTTAACTTTGCGTGAAGAATTCTGCGGTACACTTATAAATGTTTTATTAGGGGCACTTATTGAAGTATTTTTACATCCGGGTACAAAACACCACTTATTTTGTGATTCGTACATGTATTATTATTTTTTTTTGTATTATATAATTATTATTTAAAAAAAGTAAATAAACTTGGCAAAATCTTAATAAAAACAGGAGTAAATAAAATAACCTCAACAGGTACTTGTACTTGGCTTTGTTGATATGAGTTCCTACGTCACAATAGTCTAGGCAACCAGTCGTACTCGATGAGGCATTTTTCGTGCCCAATATTTTACTTAAATTTGTATTTGTTTTAAAACTATTATAGCGATTTTTTTTAAACAAAAAAAGTTTTCATTCGTTATATATGGCTTAAGTACTTTCCATTTTTCAAGTAAAAAAAAATGTGAAAATACCCCATTCAGATTTTTGTCTGTCAGTTCTAAAATTTATTACCTCAACATTAGTACTCAAGTCATCATTTCCTACGATAAAACCCAAGATATCACAATATTTCTGCGAGCTATGAAATCTTATAATATTGGTTTATTAGTATTAAAATACAAATTATTCTCGGAGAACCATTTTGTTAGATCTTTTAATAAGACATTACAATTTGTGTCCAAATCCTCATCGTTTGTGTTCGATGTAATTAAAGATGTGTTATCCGCATACAGGGTAAAATTTGTGCTTGGTGAGATAGTATGTAAATCATTAACATATATTAAAAACAGTACCGGTCCTAGAGTCGAGCCTTGCGGTACACCCATCTTTGCAGGATACTGTACCGAACAAATATTTTTTACTGAGACATATTGGGTTCTATTCTTCACGAAAGTTTGCAACCAACTAAGAGGTAAGCTTCTGATACCACAAGAAATCAGCTTATATTTCAGTCTCTGATAGTCGACACAATCGAATGCCTTATTTAGATCGCAGAAGATACCGACCAGGCATTCATCAAGCTCTATAAAATTATAAACCTTTTCTAAAAAAGCTGGGATAGTTGTGCTTGTAGACATACCACTACGAAACCCGTGTTGATTTTCCGTTAAAATTTTAAATTTATCCAAAAAAGGCATCAGTCGTTCCAAAAAACAACATTCAAATACTGTTACAGGTCTATAATTATTCATATTATTTGTATCGCCACTTTTATAAATTGGTACAACCCTCCCAATTTTCAGGGACTCTGGAATACAACCAATAACTCTTTTTATTAGAAAAGTTGGTATATTGTTAGAACCTGACGATTTTTTGTTTTTTAATTTTCTTTTCAGTAAAGTGAGAAATGTTATATAATTTAAAATGATACAGATATTAACCCTTTATAGGACACAAGACTTGCTATTGCTATTTTAACACAAATTTTGGAGGATATTTTCTTTGGTGTTTAATAAGCAATAATATGATTTTATTTATTTGCAAAAATGTGTTTTTGCAAAATAATGTTTGAGAAATATTTATTCCAACGATCGTTTAATATTCCAAAATTTCTTAATTTAGGCACTGGGTGGATAATTTCCCACCAGGAATATTTTGGAAATGACAATAGATAAAACTATATATACAGGGTGGTCGCGATGTAATGGGCCAAAATTCATGACTAGATTCCTGACGTGAAAATATTGCGATTTAGACAAACTCACCTTAGTCCAAANTTGTAGTTTTTCTGGAAATCAAGGGAAACCTTGTTTTACCCTTAAAAACTCACTCCCTACCCCTTCCCGACCTCAGATCACCCGTAAATTATTTTTCCTTTCATTTCTGTTATATTCTCTTTCTTTTCCAATGGGTTTCATCCTATAATTTTTTTTGGTTTCAAAAATTATCGACCCTGGTCTATTAACTTTTAATCAAATTATGAATTTCAAAAATACGTTATTAAAGTACCCAAAGATGTACGTCGTCCAAATAATCATACCTATTGAAAATAATTTAGGTACTTACAAAAAAGCAAAATTTAGTAATTATTAAACGCATAAGTATAAAACAAACTACAACATATGCTCAAAATAAACATTTAAAAAACAAGGAGAAACACCTCAAAAAAAGGAAATAGTGGCACGCAAAAAACACTCCGACACAGTCGAATCCAGATACCAACTGTATTACTGGTTGCTGGACACCTTAGTACCTCGTGTTAATCGCCGCGCTATTGTCACATTGCACGATATGAATTTTATCGAATTTTAAATTTATTACGCTAATTATTTTTTAGAATTTATGGTATTCTATGCACGCAGTTATGTCAATATTCCTTAATTAATCGAACTTTTGTACATCAAGTTGGAGATTTTGACATTTTTTTTCTCGGAAATGGATGAGTTTAACCCATGTCATATAAGTTTTTTTTTGCTTATTTTAATTAAGGCAGTCAAATTTTTAACATCCTGTTTAACCAGTGAAGATGGAATTGTAATACTTCTGCTCCATGTCCGGGAGCATATTTTTAGTAATTTGGTGTTAAAAGTCTTATTTAAAAAAAAATAGACATAGGCTAGTTCTGATGTGTCAGATGAGTTTAAACGAATAGTGGATGTATTTTTATAGCGGGTACATCTTAGATCTAAAAATAATCAAATTTCTTTCAAAGACGATTTTAGACGGTGTTAGGACGGGCACACACAGAGCAAACACGTAGCACAGAAGTGACGTAAACGTGTGGGTGTGTGCATGTGTGTGTGATATGAGACTTCTTTAACGTAACGATATGAACACCGTGTAGGTTCTCATCTATGATCCAAGTTTACGACCGAGTCTAAATGTATAATAAACGCGATTTAACTTACTGTGCGTTTCTTGGGATAACAATAATTATTGAAAAAATTAATTCCTATTCTAAGAGAACGTTTCATCATATTTTTATTCACATCCTTAATGTAATTGATCTCGTAAAATGGTATTACCTCAATATTAATTAATTACCTTTTTCAGCACAAGATACATTAAAGAAGGAAATGTCCTCAAAACAAAAAGTCTCTGGTGAAAGCTGTCAGCTTTGTTTACTAAAATTTTCTAGTGAAAATGACTTCCAAGGTCATGTCAATTCTATTAAGCACAAAGTTCGAGAACTGTATTTAAACAATACGTAAGTATTCTGATTTGGTACTTTATAACCACGTTGAACTTTTAATATACAGGGTGTCCCACTGGGAACTGCGTTGCTCGATATCTAGGAAAGTACTGCTCCGAAATATTTGAAAAGTTGGCAACGTGGCAATGTCCCTGGGGCGAACACAACTAAAATATCTAGATCTTTCCAGCACTTCCGGTTATACCGGATATCGACACCAACTTCGTTATTTTAAACGGGACATCCTATATGTTATTGCATTTTCGGATTCTACGTGAAATTTGAGGGACACTTTATTAAATATTTCCTATACCTAGAAGTTATAGATTTTGAGATATAAATTTTTAAAGAAAAATTTTGACAGATGCAAGGGTCCGCGGAGATGCTAGTAACTCTTTTCAGGAGCGTGATATCAAGTGGATTTTTGGTACCTGTAAAGGGCATAGGTAACACTAAATTATGGTAAACAAATTAAAAATTCAATACTAGGTGTCTCATTTTTGCTGTTACATTTTGATAACTTCAAACAACTTTGTTAACTTAAATGGAACACCCTGTATTTTTTTACTCTGTCGTATGCAGATTGAAATTTCCCTTCAAGCCATATAATCACTATTAGGGTTGCCGTTATTACTTTTAGAGATATTTACAATTTTCTATTTTTTGGAAAGTTTTTCTCGTATCAAACCTGTTGTCAAATTGGCCATGACCAGAAACACTCCAAAAATAACTTGACATTTATCAAATTAGTTGTCAAATTATTGTTGTCTGCAATAGTTTTTGCTGAAAATGTAAATGAAAATGCCTCGGGATCGTTTAAATTATACTTATGAGGATTATTTTAATTTCTTTGTTATTTATGGACAAAAGAGTCTTTACAATCATGTTCTTGAAATTACTTTGTCACATTACGCATTTACGAGTTTTATTCGAAAATCAGACATTTTTCGAAAAACAACAACAAGAGAGTAGTAATTTGTAGAAAATTGGAAGACGAATCCGAAAATATCATGGTTGCTACCGTAAAGCAGTGGCGTACTATTTTATTTAGAAAAATATGTCACCGATACCCTGTTTCTCCGCCACTGGAGCATCTAAGTTTTTCGAAAAGGCCTCATATTTTGGAGTACACGAGCCCAATTTCAAATTATTTAACTTACTAGTTTTTAAATTATTTAAAAAAATTTAAAATATTTTTTTGAAGTTTAACACCCTGTATCTTTTTAATGAAGCGTCCTAGATAAAAACTTTATAGGAAAAACTCCCTTAAAATTCACCAAAGAATACGAGGTTTCAGGTGTTGGTCACCATTTGTGAATCACCCTGTATAAAATGAACTATTAACCCAAAATAACTCGATTTTCCGATAAAATTAAGGTTAACGAATATATTTTTTTCTCAGAAATATCGTTAGGACTTTTGAATGTGAATAACACTGGTTAACATATTAGTAAACCATTTTACAAAAATTTTGCCCTTAATTAATTGTACCATTAGTTTCATCAATGCACGTTAAGCATTTTTAGTAATTTTTAATAATTGTGATATTTTTTTCAAACTTCAACACCAAGTACCTCGAAAACTAGTTTATTTGTAGGTACACGGTGATTCACTATATCTTGACCTCCCTTTAACTTTTTTGTTTTAAGAGTTTAAAAAAATGTGAAATACAAAAGTTGATGAGTTTTTATGAAGTTTTAGAAAATGGTAGTAGAAAACAAATGAAGTTCAAACAAAATGACCGCGGATGTTAACTTTGTTAATTTAAATGGCACATCCTGTATATTTTTACATATTTGGATAGAACGTTCCTTGTCGAGCATAGTCATATAGGGTTTGTTGAGTCCATCTCTAATAATAGGCGAGATAATATTAAAAAACGAAATGATGTTTTTTTATTAAGAAAATAAGACATCTTGTAATTGTTAGACCTCTTTCAGGCATTTCTGCCTTTTTTCCAATTACGTAAGGATGTGGATTTAGTTGTAATATATTTTGACATATCGGACATTGATATAGTCCAAAATGCGTATAGGTATTTTAAGTAAATCTCACTAATTAGACCGTGTGAGGCCAATTACTCATGGACAATCTTATATATGGTACATTGTTATTGTTTGACAGTTTGTATTAGTATTTAATTAAAATGGGTTACACAGAAGTAGAAAATTTAAATATTATTAGGAATTAAAATAAACTATTGAAAATATCTTAACTACTCTATCTTAATTCCTATAATATTTAAATTTTCTACTTCTGTGTAACCCGTTTTAAATAAATAATAATACAAACTGTCAAACAATAACAATGTTGTCATAATATTTCCTGTCACTGTCACGGCCTACCATATAACATTGTCCATGAGTAAATAACCCCCTCACGGACTAATTAGTGCGATTTAGTTAAAATACTTATACCCATTTTGGACTATATCAATGTTCGATATGTCAAAATATATTGCAAATAAATCTAAATCTTTACGTAACTGGAAAAAAGGCAGAAATGCCCGAAAAACGTCCAACAATTACAAAATATTTTATTTTCTTAATAAAAAACGTTCTTTTCGTTTTTTAATATTATCTCGCTTATTGTTAGAGATGTACCCAATAAACCATATATGACTGTGCTTGACAGGGAACGTTCTATCCAAATGTGTAAAAATATACTGGGTGTTCCATTTAAATTAACAAAGTTAACATCTGCGGCTATTTTGTTTGAACTTCATTTGTTTTTCTGCTATCATATTCGAAAATTTCATAAAAAATCGTGCAACTTTTGTTCTTATTTCACATTTTTTTATAACACTTAAAACAAAATAGTTAAAGGGGGGGTCAAAATATAGTGAATCACCCTGTACATTAAATCCTTTTTTTATCACCAGATGTCATGGCATGTTAGAAAACACTCTGTATACAATTTTGACTATTTTTACGTTATTTCAGAGAAAACTTTGACCATAGAGAATTAATAAAATTTGAATTAATGGGCACAAACAATGTCAAAGATAACCATAATGCATCGATCAAATTGAAATTCGAAAGAAAAGTGCATGCACATGCAACGATCAAAGCAATCAGTATATGTGAAAGCAATATAGAAATCATAGAAGTCGTTCAGGTAAATCCACATAACAAAGGAATAACAGTAAATACGAAGTTTGAAAAGGAGAGGACTTTGAGACATGGAGGGAATTTTAGGATTCTCATAAAAGGATATTTCGAGAATAGTGCTTCATTTAAGTTACCTATTGTCGTAGTTTTTAGGATCGCCGCAGAAGAGGAAATGACTTATTTTCTGAAAGAAATAGTAAGTATTATATTCGTAATAACACAAAAACATCAAAAACCTCTGAACGAGCAGGAATAACGAACAAAATTTAAAAAATATTATAAAGGGTGTAGCACTCAGGGGGTACCTTTTTTAGGGTAAAAGTACGTATCCCTCTCGAAAAAAGAGGCTGAAATCTTTGTCAAACTTCACTTAATTCTTGTTTATGCCTTCACTGGGTAGCCACTAAGAATTAGCCCGGTAAGTTGTATCAGTGCACTATCAGCGTTGCCACTTGTTACCTTTTTATATCAACTATTAAAGAGTGACAATGGAAAATAATTTAGTAAAACATTATTTTTATATGGTTTGGCGACGTGTTATTTTAAAGTCATTACATTTTTTATACCTATCAATGCGAACAAAGCACTAAATATAAAAGAAACAACCTATAGCTGAAAAAAATAAAATATTTTACAAGTTTTTTAAATATTAACTAATATTGATACGCAGATACGAATATTAATTGTAAATAAAACTATTCTGATTTAAAATAATTATTTTTGCCATTTTTAAAAACATACATTACAAAAAAATAAATAAAAATACCTACTTACTGATCTGATTAACAAGAAATATTTTCCAATACCGTCTTAAGTTTTTGTAAACAATTATGTGTTGCTATTTTTTTAAGCTGTTTATGTATTTTATATGTGATCAATGTCGATAACATTTAAGGAGGTTTATCTGATTTGAAATTGACAAACAAATATTCATAAAAAAATTAATATAAGCTTATTAATATGAAGAAAATCCTCAAACAAAATTATGACTAGTTTGCATACCTAAGAGACGAGATATTAATAAAATAATTTTTCACGATTTAGTACGAAGTCTTATTTGATGAACAGTTTCCATAGCAACTTGTATAAATAGGAAACCGATATCTAAGGAACCGTATGATAGCTCGTAGAAATCGATTAGGTACTTGTAAGATACATAATTTATAATAATTCTCCTTCAAACTGCTGTCGTTGCCGAACTTATCGTCCATATGCGTGATAGCTGCAACGCCGCGGTCTCGACGTAGCGTATTATTTGAAATTTGCAGGTGTCCAAGCAAACAGAATGATCGAACGCGAGCGAGCGATCGCCGAGGCGAGCGAGCCAGCCAAGTGCAACGTTGACAAATCTAAAGGCTTACTACTTTAGTCACTAGCGAATCTACAGAAACTCTCGTTAGACTTTAGATGTACTTCCCGATAAACCTCCTTAATATTAACCTAATTTAGCTGAACTAAATTGCTATCATATGCAGACAGGGAAGTGTTTAGGAAAGTTAAAACAGGTGAACTTAAAAAGTTATAAATTTCTAAACAAAATACGGTATGTTCCTTCTCTTTTTTCTTATTCAAACACTTCAGCTCAGCCAATCGGTGTTAGACATATTAAATTAATCCAAAATAAACAGACATAGCAACAAAATGAAACCATCCTGTTCCGAACGCTTATGAAGTGTAACGGAGGCTAGCCTCCGTTCAGTTAAAATACCGTGTTACTATCTCTGAAAAGCAGCTACTGCCAGTTGATTTCGCACCTGGTATGATATGACGTGGTGGTGAAAGGGTGAAAAACAAGCTGCTACATCACCATTCGGTTACGTTTTTAATTTAGCTTCCAATTTCGTTTACGAGAAGTTGTTTGTGTGGTGTAGGCGTATAACCTTATGACATTATTTATTACAGCGTTTAGTGATTGGTGACAAATAGTGTTTTTTTGTGTTTTTATTTTAATTTTTCTGTCTAATATGAAAAAGCATGTATACGAATCAAGAAGCAGTTGATGTAATAGAACCTACTTTTTGTCAGGAGAAGACAATGCTGTTGCAAGAAGACAATATCAAATGGATTGTCCCGACCAACAAGTACCAAATAAGAAGATGCTTTTAAGGCTGGTTTAACATTTAAGAGATTGAGGAAGCTTTGAACAAATTTAGAGAGTGAGAAACTTAGAACCGCAAATTTTAAACATGATAGAAAAGGATCCTGGTATCAGTACTCGAATATTAGCCACAAGATTTCAAATATGTCATATGCTAGAAGAATCAGGCGAATAAACAGGTTATTTGTTTATTTGTGTGTATTTCATTTATCATTATCTGTTTAGTACTGTTTAAGTGTTCAGTTAGATTACTTGATAGGTACTGTTTCATAGTTTATCCAATTTAAAAGCATTAAATTTTCTTTTATGTGGGATGATATGGCTTGTAACGAGCACCCATTCAATAAAAGCAACTCGCCAAAAAGTATTACTTCTACTACTACTAAGTATTTGTTTTTTAATAACCTTTCCCTTAAATTATGAGATTTGACAACAATGCATACAGCAGTTAGCAAGTGTGCATGCGCTATGACTAATGCACCCCGTTTGAGGTCGCACTTGTCCAGAGGATGTGAAAATTGACAAAGAAAAAGGTTAAAAATCATTTTCACGACAGAATTGGAGAAAACAAACTCATAATACGTGTTTCTAAAAGTCGAAAATAGCCTCCTTATAAATATGACCGCCATACAAAGTTACACCCTGTATATGTTATCGTTTTAACTTTAAAGTTTTTGTATCGTAGTTTCTTGTACTTTAATATTTTTGAGTAGTTTATTACTTCTTAATCACTGCCAAATAATTACATAATTTTCAGATAGTCGAGGTTTCTTCTGAATTTTCTTCCTTGAAGGCAGGGGAACCTTATAAAAAACTAAAGAAAGTAACATTACCTCGAAAAAATGATGAAATTATTCTAGGGGAAATACCAGTGGGGTAAGCATGCATTTTTAATTTTTTGCTCAATATTGTGAAGCTCAATTTAAGATAATTAGTTTTTAATGTTGGTGTAGCTCTATGCAATAAATGTTGAGCGTCAGTGGAAATATTATAAAATTTGAATTTTATTTTATAAAATATATTTTTTTTACTTACCAGGCTAGCTTTTTATTTATTATCACTCAATTTGATCGTCAAATATAAATTGCAAATTAAAAAAAAAAATAGTTAAAAAATATTTTTCTTTTATAAAGTATTCTTGATTTAAAATGGGATTCTATTTAACGTTTGATAATTTTAATGACAATTAGATTACTTAGGTTTAATTTTGTATAAATAATATACATCAAATTTAATAGAACATGAGGTGTTATCTCAGTAGTCGGTTCACAAAATAGGTTTTACTTGTAATTAAGTTTGTTAAAAAAAAATTAAATAGTATTGTTGTAATCTGTATTTAAATTTTTATATTGACATAATAAATTATAAAATTATAAATTATAACCTTTCAAGAATGTCCCTATTTATCCTGCGATAACTTATTTTTACCCTTTTATTCTACAAACTAACATTTACTTATTACCTATACATACATATTGTCCTTTCTTTCTTTTAATGTCTTTCTTAAGCAGTAATTTTCTTTCTGCTATTTCTCTCCTGTCTACTTCGTTCTTTTCGTCCCCTCACTATCTCCTTTTTGTTAATTTGTTCCTTTCTCTGTACCTTTTACCGCTCTGCTGGCTGCAACTTCCGGACTCGCATTAATAGCTCCTACTCCTTATCTCCTTTATTACTAGCTACGACAATTCAAATAATTTTACTAATATGACTATTTGATTATTACTCTTTAGTTATCTGTAAAACTTCGTGTACACCCTTATTCTTTCTTCAAACATAATTTTTCTCTAATTTTAATTTTCACTTTTGACTGTTGTTATCTTCCTTCCTTTATAGTTTCCAGTACGATAAACAACAATGTTGCATTCTTCTTACTCCTTAAGAAAATTTTTTATTTTTCTTTCTCAGCAACTGATTTTCACTAGCCGCTTCGTGTCCTTTTTCTTTCGTCTTCTTTAATTTATTTAACTTTTTCTTATTCACTCTCCTTTTTCTGTTTTTGACAATCATATCTCTTCTCTCCTGTCTTATTTTTCATTTTTTTTGTCTGTATCCTTGATTACCACTGCACTGCGCTCTTATTTTTAAATACAATTTTCCTTAACTTATCCTTTTTAATTGAACCAATCAAATTACTATTTACTTTTTACATTTCCAATTTAACCTTTGCAATACTACTTAATCCTTATTTTGCTAAATACCCTTTATTTCATTGCCACTTTTATTAATTTAGAATGATATTTCATCAAAATTTATATTTTAATTTAACTTGTCATTTTGCATCTAATTGTCATCTTAATTTCAAACCTATGTATCAACTCTTACATTGTCATTCTTTGACATTAATCTATAGTAAATAAATTAAATGGTGTGATTAAACACATTAAAGATACTGAGTGAATCTGCCGAGGCAAATTTATTGAGTACCTATATTTTCACTTACTATTGAGCGATTTGACAATTTTATTCGTTTTTATTATATTTCTACTAAAACTGTTTCACTTCCGATATAATTAGGGTTATAAGTATACTCCAAAAACTTTTAGTACATTTATATCTAAATCTCTTTCAAAATTGCAAGATGAAGATAGTGCAGTGAATACGGTAGAAAACACAAGAAAGTCTCGAGATACAATATTTGCCCAAGATAAAATATTACATTAAAAATGGTAGATGCCAGTTATCATTTTTTTACAGAGCCATACTACTTTATTTGTCGAATTAATTGAACTGCATACCCATATCTCCTCCACTGGTGACTAGTAATACTTATTATTGAGATATACTGCAACAAAACTATCTAATCGCAACTCATACCAAGTTTTGATTAAATATCTCTACTCACTTTCAAGATATTAAAAAAATTTTTATGGAATTCTAAACATACTTTTTAAAATTTTTTTGACCAGCGGAACACGTCTTCAAAGTTTGCCGACTTAATCTTGAAAGACCCTGTATCAGAACTAATTGTAAGATCCGGTATTTCATTCTCCTATCACTTTCTGCGTTTGCATGTATTATATGTTACGTTACGTTCACTGGCTTTGTTCAGTACAATTTCTTTGAATTCAAGTTTGTTTTTTGATTATTGACTTCTATTTCCTTTTGTGTACCTATTTCAAGAGAATTTGTTAATGTATAAGCTTTAAAATTACACTTTTGCATATGTGTAAAATTCTACTCAAATAATGTTGCAATTTGTTATGTTAGAAGCATACAGGGTGATTCAGAACTTATCCAAAGAAAATTTTGAATGTACTCTTACAAATACAATTTTGTTAAAAAAAAATCAAAAAGGGCAGTTCGGAAATTATTTAAAAATACACTTCTGCACGGCACTGGAAACTGGTCCACTGTAAATCCTGAGCCAACTCAAGGCGAAGTGTAATAAAAAACGAACAAAAACTTGAAAGAATTTCGCAAGGAAAGAAATAAATAGAATTTTGTTAACACCTATTTTATATCAGCAAATTCAACTGCTTTTGCCGCTATTGTTATTATTAATTAATGAAATTAATTTGTGGTTTCACTTAATAAAATAATTTGACATACCTGATGTTACAACAACTGTTCAAAATTCTATCCACCGACGTGTAAATACATTTGGACCCGTCTTACACAGTTTCTACGAACTAATACAAATATTGTCTTGCTTCACCGTAACACAACTGCTTCACCATAACACAAATGTTGTCTTGCTTCACCATAAATTAAAACGATATCCATTAAATCCGAGTTGCTGTACACGGAAGCCATTTATGACACTAACTACTAAAAAACCATTGTAAACACTATCGCAATGACGTTAATACTACTTGTAAAATCGGATTTCAGTATTCGGAGTCGCTGGGACCACGTGGCTCTCCACGCGCATTGTGTAAAGCGCACAACGCGAATGACTCTACAGACTACAATTGTCCAGCGATGTAATGGTGGAAAGCACTACAAGTTCAATATTTTTTTTCTCGGAAACTATTAGGATTTTACAAAAAATTTTTTACAATATTGACTCCATTCTTTATGGCGCATCTATTCCCAAATTTTTTTGGGTAAGATGTGAATCACCCTGTGTAAGTTCTTTAAACGCTGAAAATTAAGTTTTTTATTTGCAATGCCAGTCGCACTAATAAAAAATAAAATGGTAAATATATAAAGCCTACACTACAGTCAAGTCTGAGTGAAAATTAACTCAATGATACACTAGGCACAGAACCAATGAATTTTAATCAAATCTGTGATTCTGTTACTTCTGAGTGACTTTTTACTTCACTATTCAAACTACTGGGCACAGAAATTAAGTGATATTTAAAAAATCCTAAAATTTTGGGTGATTTTCAAATGGAGAGAAATGGTCGTAGAGAGAATAAAAAAAAGAAAATTGAAGCTTCAAGTTTTGAAGTCCATAGGCCTTTTTAAAAAAAAGAAAAAATTTACAAGTTTTTTTCCCGTTGATTTTCTTATGATTACTCAAAAACTGCTGACGCTAAAAAATTTTAAACTGCAGATCTGAAAACTAGACAATTGAAGCTTCAATTTCCTTTTTTTTGTTCTCTCTACGACCATTTTCCTCCAAGTCTAAAAATCACCAAAAATTTTGGGATTTTTTTAATATCCCTTAATTTTTGTGCTTAGTGTAGTACAGTTTGAATTTTTAATTTTTAATATTAACTTAATTTTTTTTTGATAGAGAAATCGTATATTTTTCTATAGTCATTCTATACCGTTCAAATATATCAAAATTGTAAGTATTTGAAATACAGGGTGCGGCTAAAGTAACTATATGATTTGTTTTTTAAATAAATATTGAATGGAATGAAAAAACAAAAAATTTAATGATAAAAATAAAGTTTATTTTTACATTAATTATGAAAAATAATGTCAGTTAAATGAGAACCGTTTTCTCTAACGCAAAAATGTGCTCTTTTTATAGCATTTTCCATAACTTTGTTGAGTGTTTCTTGTGGTATACGATCAATTTCTTCTTGAATGTTGTCCTTTAGATGCTGCAAGGTTTGGGGCTTATTCACATAAACTTTGTCTTTGGCTTATTCACATAAACTTTGCTTTGAGATCATCATTAAATTTGACAAAAAGTTTTCATTTTGATCAACGAGATTTAAAACTGCTCTAGCATATTCCAAGCGCAATGCGAAGTCCTCAGGATTTAGTTTTTGGACTAGTTGGATTTTGTAACGGAAGAGGTGCAAATCGTGTTTCAAAATTTGCCGAAGAGTGCGGTCAGAAAGCTGCGACTGAGCAGATCTTCTTCTCGTTGATGTCTCCGGATTTTCTGCGACGCTCTGTCTCACAGCATCAATATTTTCGTCCGATCTGCCAGTTCGAGGTCTGCCCGTACGTCTTGAATCTCCGACAGTCCCAAATTCAGCAAAATTATCCACCAACGAACTAATGGTTGGACCCGATGGAGCAGTTCTTACACCATAAAATCTTCTGTATGCACGTTGAGTATTAATTATCGAACGATTATATTCAAGGAATAGAAAAACAATCTTAGTTCTTTGCGCAATTGTATAGCGTTCCATTTTTATATATTCTCCCAAGTTTAATTCCTGAAATAGAAAAAAAATATATGAAATATTCACAAGCAAAGAAGTTACAATTTTTTACATCATATAGTTACTTTAGCCGCACCCTGTACTACAACAGAATTGACACTAAAATTGGTTTTAAAGATCGAATAAATACAACCAATCATTAATTAAAATACATAATTTTATTATATTCCACCATTATTGGACACTTTTATTGTTTTTGTTAATATTTTCCAGACATGCATCCAGTTACAAAGAAACTTATCCACTAAAACAATATCCGATCCCAACAGGTCTTCAAATACGGCTAAGAGATTTAATAAGATCATATCCAATGTTCGTGGAGAAATACGCACCCGAAAATGCGGACAGTTTCTACAATATGTTTGCCACAGTACTGAATTTACATCCTAGTTTAATCGAAGCGAATTATTTCGATCTTTTGGACGCATTGCTTAATATAGAAGAGAATCAGATAATGGTGGATGTAAGAGATTATGACACGATGTCGAAGTTAAGTTTTATCGGAGGAAACACATACGACTTAGAGGTATGTCTTCATCATCATCTTTTAAATATACTATGCAATAATGTCGATTGAATGATGTCAAAAACAGAATTTTCAAAAATAAAATTTATGGATTGAAAGTAAAAAGCTTTTACCATTCAATCTAAAAGTTTTATGTGTCTGAAGGTGAAATTTGTGGAGTTGAATTATAAAACAACAAAGATCAATATGGTATCCCCTCAAAAAGCAAATAAAAAAGATCGGTTAAGTCATCACTTTCCAATTACTTTTAAAATTAGTTTCGTGAGGACTGACAATTTGCTTCCAATTCTCAAACTGCTGTAACATCTTTCAAAGCGTTTTTATTAGTGCTAGTTTGAAATTAGAACTATGTAAGCACTTTCAGTTCCTTTACTATACTTTGTTGGAGGAAATCCATTAATCGACAATACATCATTAAGTTTGAGCTTCAACTGCAAATTTAATTGAGGAAAAAGTGAGAATATATTGGCGATGAAAGTGTAAAGTACATGTAAATAAGTCAGAGCCTCATATGTGAAATTGTGAATTTACATAATATACTGACTGAACTTATACAACTAAATGATGTTAATTTCAGATCTGCGTTTAATTTCTTGTATCATGTACATTTTTTGAACACAAGACACCTAATCAAATAATTATAAACATACGTTTATCTTTTATAAAAAAAAAAATGATAAAATATGGGATATAAATTTTATTTTTATATGTTTTGTTGTAGCCTATAAGTTGCTTGGGGAATCCCAGTAAAAGTGTGGGGAAATACCATCCTTATCATTGAATTATATTCAAACTATTTAATTTGTTTGCATATAGATTTTCCATTGAAATTAATGAGGTTGCCAACCTTCTCAACAAAAAATCAGTAAACACTTTATTATCAAAGTGAAAACAAGTAGATTTGCCAATAACCGTAACTTTATACGTTTGTATGTATATCTTGTTTTATATTAAACAGCCTTTATAATTGATTACAAGGCATATAACCGTCGAACCTAGGCAACCAACATTGCGCGATTGGTAGTATCAACTAAAAATCTCTAAATCTGGAGTGGTTGAAGGGGTTAGTTGTAATTAATTGAAATTGTTTTTTAAATTGACTGACGTGAACTGTCGACATTAAACTTAATACATACAATTTAATATTGCACTCATCAAAACTTTACTTTTGTTTTTTTCAATAAATTAACTTTATTAAAAAGAGAAAACTATCATACTTCACTTATTAATAAACAATTTGCAAATGTTTGCTATGAAAACTAAAGAGCATGTTGTGAACCTATAACAGTTCTTTATGTTTTTATTTTATTACACACTGAAGCAGGGATAATTTATTTTTTTATATAGAAAAAATAGCATTATAAAAATGTTCCAGTCTACTGTATGATTAATAGACATCGCAAACTTTGTGGCGACGCGACGATCAAATAAATAAACAGTAGTACCTAATCTATATTATGCTAGAAATAGGCTAAATCTATGGTCAAGTCATGTGCCGCTCACGATACACAATGCTATTGACTGCCACAAAAACACTTGCCATACACTCGACCAAGCAAAGTACAATGAAATAAACGGCCAACGTCCCTCAGCAAAAAACCTGGATTGTTCACCGGCACGCCAGGCGAACAGGGCAGGCATTAGGGTGACGCTAAATACGTGTCGAATAAATTGATCGATGCGAAGCTTCAGATCATCGGCAGACATGTACGTAGTATTGTTGAATGACGCGGATAGTGAGTTTACTAAAATGTAAAGCAGTTGATACTTCGCTACTATTAGTAAATATAACATATAACAAAGAGTAGAAAATTCTGCATCCGAATATGACATTGACTGTGACCTCAAGGTCAATGATCAAGGGCAGTACAAGGTCAAATGTTGATACTTACTGTATTTTTTTATTTTTCAGAAGGAGTGACAGTCTTTGAGTAAATACCTGATGGTACTCTTAGTGACCTTGATCTTCGATTTTGCCATGAATGGTGGAATAATTCCTCACTCTTGCCTTCAGTGGCCGGATTATTTCTTACTCTCGCCTTCAATAGTCATATTATTTTTCAGTTTTAAAGTTAGGATTTCACAAACTAACTCGACCATCTGCGAAAACTAAAAAAAATTAAGTCCCTTCTATTCCATTGTCAAAAATAAAAAATGATAGCCGGAATAATCACTTGATCTCTACCTGACCTTGACATTACATGTAGAATTCTACACTCTTCTATTGCTAGCGTCGATTCCAGCGTCGAAATAAGGGGTTGCTACTCCAAAAACCGATATGACCTTGATATGTTCTTTCGACATTGACCTCAAGATCAAAGTCACTAAGAATTACCGTCAGGTATCTACACAAAGACTATCACTCCCTCTAGTTCCGTAGTTAAAAGTAAAAAATTACAGTAAAAATCAGCATTTGACCTTGTACTGCCCTTGATCTTTGACCTTGAGGTCGTGGTCAATATCATATTCGGATGCAGAATTTTCTGGTCTTTCCATTTCCGGGGTCGAGAAGGAGGGTCGCCATTTTAAAAAACCAACTTGATCATAACCTTGAACCTTGACCTGAAGGTCAAGGTTACCATCGGATGCGCCGCTCGCACTGATTTTTTTCATGGTAGATTTCATAATAAAACATTGAAACCTGTCATTTTTTTAATTTCAAATTTGCAACCTGAAAAGTTTTTTATTTTTTAGCCTTAGTTGCAAAATGAAATATACGACGCACTCGCGTGATATAGTTATATATTATTATTATATTCGGAAAGCTTATGAAAAGAGCTTTAAGTTAAAAAAAATCGTCAAGATTCGTTGAAAAACAACGGAGTTACAGACTGTCAAATATATTATTTTCAAGCGAATTTTCGCTTTTTTAACGGCAGAACTATGAATATTATCGTCATTTTCTTCAGACTCGCTGTCGTTCGCTTCCCCCACCCTTCCGCCGCGCCACGGCTCGCCGAAAAAACAAGCGACCCACTGACTTTTGACAATATTTCTTATGCACTTAACATACTTCCCCATATAAAATATTTTTATCTGGGAAAGTACTCGGGTTGCCGGTTATGACAGTATTTTTTTGCCGCTACCAAAATAATATGCCGTCAAATTTGACAGTCTGTAACTTCGTTTTCTCTTCAACGAATCTTGACGATTATTTTTTAACTTAAAGCTTTTCATAAGCTTTCCGAATATGTAATAATATATAACTATATCACGCGCGTGCGTCGTATATTTCATTTTGCAACTAAGGCTACAAAATAAAAAAAAACTTTGCAGGTTGCAAATTTGAAATAAAAACAAAATTATAGATTTCAATGTATTATTATGAAATCTACCATGAAAAAAATCAGTGCGATTGTGGAAGATGCTTGGGATCGTCCAGACTAATAATTAGTTAATTTGTTTATAAGGCCATAACTTGTAAACTATTCAACTTACCGATTCCAGATTTCGTGTGAGTTATTAGACAGTTATAAGGAATGAGAGGATGCGATGCCAAAACGTTCTGGTAATAATAACGCAGTTTATAAATGTTTAATTCAAAAGTCATAAATAAACTTCTTCTGTTTATAACTTTTGATCTAATCAATATCTTTTCTCGTGGAAATGATCGGAAAAAGTTATAAGCGAAAAACATGAATTCACGTAAAAATTATACAATTAACCAGCCTGTAAAAAATCTTCCCCCCATTTGGAAACTAATATGTTATTGTACATAATTAGCATCTATAGTGATAAATTCAGCTTGCCGAAAAAAAAAGGCGCGTCCAACTCTATATTCCCTGGCCTAAATATTTACTCTGGATATTTATTGATGAAACAATGCCTTATAAGAGAATAGGTTCCAGGATTGGCTGAAGCTCGACCGTCTCTAGTAGTGCATGATGCAGTGTACGTTAAAGAAAATATAGCAGACAGCAAGAAATTTCAAGGAATAGTTAGTAGCGTATTTGAGAAATCTGTACGATTAAGTTTCAACCGCAAGTAAAGCAAACGTTAATGATCACTAGCAATTTCCTCACTTATGTACCTTTACAGATTTACAGATATATACAGCAAGGAAAAAGTGTATCATATTGAATTCGGTTATAACAGAAGATCACTGAAGGTTCAAAAGCAGGCCCTATTTTTAGCGCGAGATCACCGCATTATATCATACTTTTACCCCAAAGGAGATCAGGGGGATATAAGGGAAACATCTAAGAAGTGAGTTTAAAGGCATTTAATGTACCTAAATGTAAATTGTAAACAAGCCGTTTTCAGGATACAATATTTTAACCCTATGTTAAATGAGGAGCAGAAAAGGGCTGTTGCGAATATACTGAAGGAAAGGTCGGCACCGTATTTAATTTTTGGACCGCCAGGAACTGGGAAGACTGTAACCATTGTGGAGTCGGTATTGCAGGTATGCATTTTTAAAGACGTTTTTAACCCTCAAAGGTCACACTGGTGCGAATTGGGTGATTGCTAACTTTGAAACTTTGTCTTCTTTATTTGTTAACAAAACAACGTATTTATTTCAAAACTGGGGTAAAATTTTCCGAGAAATCGAATGATGTAATTAGTTTTGAAAAAAAATTATTTGTAAATAAAAAATGTGATTGAAAAACATTTTTCGAAATATGACTTTTTTTAATTCGTATTTTTTATAAATAATGACTAGAGAAAAAGTAAAAAAAAGGATTTTGAAGTTCAGTCTGTATTTCAAAACAAAAAAATATCCCATATTGATAAAACGATATTATCGATTTTTCCCGGTATCTCGAATATAGGCATTTTTTGAAGTTGTGATTTCTTCCTCCTTTTCTGTAAATTGATGTTTATTTTGCACTCTTTTGTTATAAGAATATTAATTTAAACAATATTAACTAAAAGATTGCCAGATACTTGTTACAACTAAATTATGAATGAAAAAATTATTAACAATAACTAAATAAATAATGTTCTAGTCAATTCGACACGTAGAATGAGGTGAAAAAAATCGGAAATGTGCATTTCAATTTACTTTATTTCTAGATTATATGATATAAATTCAGCCACATTTTGTCAGCTGTTAAAAAAACGGTAGTGCGAATTCGCACTAGTGTGACCTTTGAGGTTAAAAATCATGAAATGAATATTAATTATTTTATTATAAATATTATTATTTATTATTAATATTAATATTAATTATTAATAGTCTGCTTGCAATCAAATCAGTCTATTTACGAGAGGTCTGCAATAACGTAAGCTTGCGAAATGATACAGTGTTGCCAAATTGTATTTTTTTCAGGATATTTAAGAAAATTTACTTTTGATAGTATGTAAATTCAGTTTATTAAAATTGTAGCCTAGAACCACAAACTACGAGGTACTGTTTGTGAAAAGAACTACTAAATTTGACGTCACTGCAGAAATTATCTTAATAAACTTTAGTTGATCTTATAATTCAGTAGTAGACTGTGCCAATTAATAAATTCATATATACCCAATTTTTTTCTAATATTGAATGTACAAAGTTTCCTCAAATCGTCTTAACCACTGATACTAGGACAAAAAATTTTTGAGCAGAAATTTGTCTCTTTGGGAAACGATTGTGTTTAGTTAAACAGCGTAACGCATTTTATTTCTCAAAAAATTGATATGCCTTGTTAGAAAATAGAAAATATATATTCTGTGTAGGTAACGTGACTTTCTCGTATAAGATATTAAAAAAAAAAATTAGTAATAGCTCAGAATTAAAAAAACATTTTTTCGCCCGTTTTTGCGTAGTGTGTAGCAAGAACGGGGAAGGTCGTCCAGAGGTCTCCGTTGATCGTCATGAAAAATCTAGGTGAGCATAATTCGATTTTTCCAATATTTGTACGACTTAACCCTACTTAAGGGGTGGAAACCACCCCTAAAACAAGAAACGTGAGAAAATGGTCGATCAATTCTTGGTAAAAATTGACGGGAATTTGAATGGCAAGGAAGAGATCAGGGATGTTCTTCCAAATATGCTCAAGGTGAAAAACATCCCCCACGTGGGGGTAAAACCACCCCTATTGCCGAAAACCGGCGGCAAATGATGTTCCGTTCATGAATTGCCTTTTTGTCATGCCACGTGAAATTGCAAAATTGAATTTTTTGCCATGTGAAATTCCCCCAAGTTTACCAAGAATTTATCGACTATTTTCTCATTTTTCTTGTTTTACGGGTGGTTTCTACCCCTTTAGTAGGGGTAACTGATCAGAATTCGACAGAAGAACGAATTTTGTGGGTCTAGATTCCATATCAATTGGAGTTATGAGGAATAGTGGCGCAAAAAAGATAATTCATAAAGGGAATATCATTTCCTGCCGGTTCTCGACAATAGGGATGGTTTCACCCCCAGGCGGGGGGTGTGTTTCACCTTTAGCATATTTGAAAGACATTCCCGATGTTATCCTTGCCATGTATGGTTCCGCCAATTTGTAGCAATAATTTATCGAGTATTTTCTAATTTTTCTTCTTTTAGGGGTGGTTTCCACCCCTTAAGTAGGGGTAACTGATCAGCATTCGGCCGAAAAACGAATTATGGGGGTCTAGATTCCATAGCAATTGGAATTACGAGGAATAGTGGCGCAAAAAGGTAATTCATGAAGGGAACATCATTTGCCGTCGGTTTTCGGCAATAGGGGTGGTTTTACCCCCACGCGGGGGGTGTTTTTCACCTTGAGGTTTTTTGGAAGAACATCCCTGATATCTTCCTTGCCATTCAAGATCCCGCCAATTTTTACCAAGAATTGATCGACCATTTTCTCACGTTTCTTGTTTTAGGGATGGTTTCCACCCCTTAAGTAGGGGTAAGTCGGGCAAATATTGGAAAAATCGAATTATGCTCACCTAGATTTTTCATGACGATCAATTTAAGCCCACAGAGACCTCTGTACAACCTTCCCCGTTCTTGCTACACACTACGCAAAAACGGGCGGATTTTGCGGTCACTCTTTAATCCCTGTTCAAAAGAGTGACTCCAAAAACAGCCCGCAAATCGCCCATTTTGGCAAACTCGTAATTCGTTAAAAATTTATTATATATCATTAGAACGTGTTACTGAGAAAGTTCCAAGATAGTTCAACTTTGGTTTTGGAGATATGAGTGATACATGTCATAATACTCGTGATCCTATGTATGGAGCATATCACTATACACCTTTAAGATTAACTGTTTTTTAGATGGCCTATCATCAAGGTCAAAGTGGTTACTTAGGTTTTTGGGGTTGCTGATTATGAATCTGAAGTCAGAATTTCAAAATTCAATATGGTGGATCCAATATGACGGACAAAATTTTTGAAATTGAACCAAATTCGACCAAACTGGGCATACAGGGGTTTTCGGGGTCGTTGATTACGAATCCGAAATCAGATTTGCAAAATTCGAAATGGTGGATCCAAACTAACGGACAAAATTTTAAAAATCAATGCAATGCTATCAAGTCTTCGTCTTTTTGGGTTATACTTCGTTCGTAAATTATTAATAGACGATAAAGTCGGAATGTTGGCACTAAAAACATTTTTTGATCTTTTTTTAATTTTACAACCGAGTCAAGTTATAGAAGAAGGCATTTTTCTGAAATAATTGCAGTGGAAATAATCTAAAAAGATTGACCAAATAGGTTAATAGAAGAAAAAACAGTATAATTAAAGCAAACACTGTAAGCAAAAATACCTAAATCTAATTATACTATTAGAGGAGAAAGAGTAATTAGAGTACTTCAGAGGTGCTCGCTGGAACTCCAAGTGAAAAGTGCTCGGGCGGCCAGTTGCGCAAACCTTTATATTTTTTCAAACACAACTCTCTTGCAGGCAAATGCGCCACCTATCATCCCTCCGCGGTACTAGATTGCTGGATTCGTTATCAGCGACCCCGAAAACCTAAGTAGCCAGCTTGTCCTTGATGATAGGCCATCTAAAAACCAGTGAATCTTAAAGATTTAAAGTGATATGCTCGATACATGAGATTACGAGTATTATGACATGTATCACTCATATCTCCAAAACCAAAGCTTGGAACTTTCTCAGTAACACGTTCTAATGATATACAGTAACTTAGCACAAAATTTTCAACGAGTTGCCAAATGGACAATTTTCGTAGTCACTCTTTACAAGCAATATTCCTATTTTGATATTGATATGATATTTTTTAATTTTGTAGGTTTGAACTCGAGCAAGAATCAGTTCATACAAGAGAGATAACTTTCTTAAACTACATTGTAATTATAATTAAAATTTTATTTTGTAGGTATGGAAAAACAAACCACAAGCCAGAATATTAGTGTGTGCTCCATCCAATTCAGCAACTAATGAAATAGCTGTTAGGTTAGCAGAAAAATTACCTAATACGGAACTATTTCGTTTAATTGGTTACATGTGTGGTAAGGGCAGCACATTTACACAAATAGAAAACATAGTAAACATCAATAAGGACGGATCTTTTTATATGCCATCGATGGAAAGGTTACTTAAGTACAGGGTTGTACTGACTACCTTAGTAACAGCTGCAAGGTAAGGAAAAGCTTTTTCTTGGAAGTAGTAGAATATTAAACCTTTGAATTTTCCTCAGAAAATCATAGATAAAGAATTAGATGTTAATATTTCTTCTAGAATATTTAGTAGATGAGTAGTAGTCTTTTATTATTTTCCATATCACTTTCTCTTAATTATTTTCCGCAGCTAATGGTCCAAAGTCAACAGAACTTTCTCTAATATATTTTTCGTTTCAATAAGTATGTTTTGAATTATTTCCTTATACAGGGTGTTTCAGGATTAAGTCGACAAACTTTAAGAAGATATTCCTCATAATAAAATAAGAAAAAAATCAAGTATAATTTTTTTCCATAGACGCCTCATTTTCGAAATATAGGGCGTTAAAGATTAAAATTTTTTTTTTACATAACTTCTAAATGAAGAAGGCCAAATTTGGCAGTGACACATCTTCTTATAAGATACCATTTTTCCATAGAAGTAGAAGTCCTGCAACTAGTGGCGGAGTTATGGGGACTCAGACTCATTGAATTATAAAAAAAATAAATACGACCCTACTGAAAATGAAGCTGTTTTTAGATAGAACAGTTTGTTATTGACAAAAAGTGTACATTCACTTTTTTTCCTAACTCTTATAGTTTCATAGCAAATTGATTTTTCGGAAGGGTGCTTCTGGATTCTGTCGATAAACTTCAAAATTAACCTCAACAAAAATTTTCGAATGGGAATTTTAAACCAAAGGAACAACCATAATTGGTCCTACGAGAATCCACGGGCGGTAAGGGAACATAGTTTTCAGCATGAATTCCAATGTAACATATGATTGGGTGTGTTGGACAACACTATGTTGGTCCTTATTTCCTTCCGCATCGGTTAAATGCTGACATGATTATCGAGTTCCTTGAAAATGGTTTTCAAGATCTGTTAGAAGATGTTCCGCTTAATACTCGAATGAAAAGTTGGTTTCAAGTAGATGGTTGTCTTGCCCATTTTGGTAGAGGTCCTAGGGAGTGGTTAAATATTAATTATCCCAGGAGATGGATTGGTCGTGGAGGACCTGCAGCGTGGCCCGCACATCCACCGGACTAGACACCGATGGATTATTTCGTTTGGGGTGCTGTTAAACAAAAAGTCTACGAGGTGCAAGTTGATACCCTAGAAGATCTAAGACAGCGAATAGTCCAAGCGTGTCGAGAATTAACTCCAATTCAGTGCCGATCGGCCACTACCTCCATAATTAGAAGATGTCGTGCTTGTCTACAGTCCGGAGGCGCCCATTTTGAACAAAATATTTTTTAAATCATTTCATTTTTGATTCACTTTTCGCTTTGTCTAGGTATAATATTAATTGGTAATTTTTTGGTTGTTTCAATTTACAAATAAATTTTCATGTATTGTTTGCCATCTTATTTTATTTAAAAGTACACAACACAAGTAAATGAAGTGACTACAAACCGCCTGAAAAAATTTAGGAGTATTGCAAGGGTCGTTACGTTGTCGCATTACGACATAGTCACATTAGATGTTAGGTACTTAAATATTTCTATTGTTTTCATCATTTTTTTTTTTAAAAAAAAACACCCTATATCTCAAAAACGAAGCATCTCCTAAATAATTTTAATACTATTGGTTAAACCCAAGGGAAGGGGAGACAAAAAGGCTTATTTGACTCACACATACTCGAGACTAAGACCAATTTTAATAGGTACTATATTTTTTTAGGTTTTATGAGGAACGTCTTCCTAAAGTTTATCGACAGAATCCAGAAGCACCCTTCCGAAAAATCAATTTTGCCATGAAACTATAAGAGTTAGGAAAAAAGTGAATGTACACTTTTTGTCAATAACAAACTGTTCTATCTAAAAACAGCATCATTTTTTATTTTCAGTAGGGCCGTATTAATTTTTTTTATAATTTAATGAGTCTGAGTCCCCATAACTCCGCCACTGGTTGCTTGCGGGACTTCTACTTCTATGGAAAAATGGTATCTTATAAGAAGATGTGTCATGCCAAATTTGCCTTAAATAGCCTTCTTCATTTAGAAGTTATTTAAAAAATTCGAATTTTTTAAAAAATCTTTAACGCCCTATATTTCAAAAATGAAGCGTCTCTGGAAAAAAAATTATACTTGATTTTTTTCTTATTTTTTTAAGAGGGATATCTTCTTAAAGTTTGTCGACTCAATCCTGAAACACCCTGTATATCTTTTTTCCAATACGTATCTATACTACCAATACCAATAGCTTCTGCTACATTTCTTGGATACTTCAATTCTGTGATCCGTAGTCTTTTTTTCAATCATATTTTCTACATTATCATATTGCCATTTTGGTTTTCGTTAAAGTTGCATCCCGCCGTTGCATTCTATTTTCACTGGAGTTAAATTCCTGTCAAGCAATTTTTTATTTGATCTGATTTTTTTATTACTTCGTTATTTCATCATTTATACCTACATATACATAATACATAAATTTGTTTTTCATAAGGAACACCCTGTATATTTTTTCATGTTCGGATAAAGCTTTCTCTTACGAATACAGTGATGTAAGGTTTGATAAGTCCATCTCAAATAACAAGCGCGATATTGCGAGAAAATGACATTTATTTCAAAAAATTATTTAATATCATTTATCATAATTTATCATAACACCACTGTTGTAGCCTGACATTTTCACAAATTAGTACGTTATATAACCTTAATAAACTTCGCAAATTCATCACTGAATTTTTTGGAGCTTAGAAGGAATGGCACATTTAACAGAACGTGAAATGATAGAGATCTTAATAGTAGTTGGATATGGTAATAAGCTACGAACCCATGCGGAAGCATGTGAGATGTTTAATCAAACACATGCTGACAGACCACCAATTGCACAATCTACGGTGACTAAATTGGTCGCCAAGTTTACAGAGATTGGTGTGTAAGAGATAGGACACGACGAGATCGACCTCAAATCGTTGAAGAAACCAAGTTAAATGTATTACCGGAAATTGAAGAAAATCCCCATCAGTCAACAAGACAACTAGAGCTAAACAATAATGTGGACCAATCATATGTTGTAAAGTTGCTTCGTACAGGAATGTATCATGGATATAAAGCCCAGCTGATACACGAATTAAATTAGAATGATCCAGACCGCTCGTTGCACTTTTGTGAACAATTAATGTTACGGTGTAATGAAAATCCAAACTTTCTAAGCAACATAATTTTTTCTGACGAGGCCACATTATATTTAAATGGCTCAGTACATCGACATAATTGTAGATATTGGTCAAATGACAATCCCCAATGGGTGCAAGATTTCCACAGTCAGTGTAAAGGCAAATTAAATGTATGTGTAGTAAATCAGAGGAAGGCGATTTTTAGGTCCTTACTTTTTTGAAGAAAACCTCACTGCTGCTAATTTTTTGCGGTTTGAGTTGGTGCCGGCTGTACCAGTTCTTTTCCTCAACGCTGCAGACGGCGATATACCCCAAGGAAATATTTGGTTTCAACAAGATGGAGCTCCACCTCACTATGGCTTAGAGGTTCGGCAATATCTTGATGATATTTCCTGAAAGATGGATAGGGTGGAGAGGATATCTTGAATGGCCCCCACGTTCCCCCGACTTGACTCCTGTGGATTTTTTTCTATGGAGTTATTTAAAATCTACGGTATACTTCAATCGACCAAACAATTTAGCAGACTTACAACTGAGAATTCGTGCAGAAATGAAAAAAATCAGCCTTGAAATTATTGAGCGTAGTGTACAAAGTGTTTACAATCGCGCGGGCCAGTGCAAAATTGTTGGTGGAGGACAATTTGAAAATTTACGTTAAATTTCGTTAATTATTTGCATTTGTTTCGATTCCAAGTACAACTTCTTTTATGAAAAATGATATTAAATAATGTTTTAAATAAATGTCATTTTCTCGCAATATCTCGCTTGTTATTTGAAATAGACTCATCATAGGCGAGCGGTTCACCCCTAGAAAAAAAGGCATGAACCGACTAAATTTTTAAAACAAAAACCTACAGCATGAAACTTTTTTTTATTTTATAGAGTATTTCTCTGATAATTTACATATTTTTTTTTATATTTTTCGGCGTGATCAGTCAATTATAAACAAAAAATTTTATTTTATTTTTATTTTAAGTTCTCTGTTGTAAAATGTACTAAAATAAACACCTTTTGTTCTTTGACAAAAACTCGAAAAATGCTTCGTTTACGAGATATTTACAATTTAATGTGAAAAAAGTGACGAAATCGACAAACTCGGAATTTTTTTCTCAAAAACTACTGAACAGATTTGAATTCTAAAAAAACATAATAATCGGCAGATTTTCTACTTTAAGATATATTTTTTTGGTATTGGTCAATCATTTTATTGAAGGTCTAACACTTCAAATTATTTTTTTTTTACAATATCTTGGATTAGATTATATTTTCAATAAACATTATTATGATTTTTTTTATATGTTAATAGTACAAATGTTCAAAATATCATTTTGTTTGGTTTTGTAGCCGGAGTAAGGTTTTTGCAAGTAATTAGTAAAATTTAAATATTCGATTTTTGGTTTTATAAATGGCTAAAATTGACTTGAAAGTTATACCAAAACTAAACTAAATAGGCTTTTTAAANCGTTGCACTTTTGTGAACAATTAATGTTACGGTGTAATGAAAATCCAAACTTTCTAAGCAACATAATTTTTTCTGACGAGGCCACATTATATTTAAATGGCTCAGTACATCGCCATAATTGTAGATATTGGTCAAATGGCAATCTCCAATGGGCGCAAGAATTCCACAGTCCGTGTAAAGGCAAATTAAATGTATGTGTAGGAATCATAGGAAATCGATTTTTAGGTCCTTACTTTTTTGAAGAAAACCTCACTGCTGCTAATTTTTTGCGGTTTGAGTTGGTGCCGGCTGTAGCAGTTCTTTTCCTCAACTCTTCAGACGGCGAAATACCTACCCCAAGGAAATATTTGGTTTCAACAAGATGGAGCTCCACCTCATTTTGGCTTAGAGGTTCGGCAATATCTTGATGATATTTCCTGAAAGATGGATAGGGCGGAGAGGATATCTTGAATGGTCCCCACGTTCCCCCGACTTGACTCCTCTGGATTTTTTTCTAAAGAGTTATTTAAAATCTACGGTATACTTCAATCGACCAAACAATTTAGCAGACAATTTCTTTTATGAAAAATGATATTAAATAATTTTTTAAATAAATGTCATTTTCTCGCAATATCTCGCTTGTTATTTGAAATAGACCCATCATAGGCGAGCGGTTCACCCCTAAAAAAAAGGCATGAACCGACTAAATTTTTAAAACAAAAACCTACAGCATGAAACTTTTTTAATTTTATAGTGTATTTTTCTGATAATTTACATATTTTTTTATATACAGAAGGCCGCTGTTCGTCTTATCGCGGGTGTACCAAACTATACTCATAGTAGGGTTTACTTCCAAAAATATAAGATATTGCCACTCCCGTGCCTATATCTACTTGAATCACTGTATCGAGTTCATAAAAATTTGCCAAACATTCCGACACATTCTGGTGTACATGAATATAACACTAGGCACCGTGGAGCTCTTATAGTCCCTTTCTCTAGGATTAATATAACTAGAAATAATAAACCCAAAATAGATTTATATAATAAATTGGTTCATTTCTTCAAGCACGAGAATATTAAATTAATGTCTCTAAAATCAGTTTACAATTTCACTAAAAAAATTTTTATGACGGAATGCTATTTTAGTACTGATGAGTTTATTTCTGATATGTGTTCTATTATTTGAAATGTACTGTTATGTATGTTAAAAAGTCAATAAAGTTTATTTTATTTATTTATCTATTTCGGCGTGATCAGTCAAACAAAAAAGTTTATTTTATTTTTATTTTTATCTGTTGTAAAATGGACCAAAATAAACACTTTTTGTTCTTTGACAAAAACTCGAAAAATGCTTCGTTTACGAGATATTTACAATTTAATGTGAAAAAAGTAACGAAATCAACAAACTTTCGGAATTTTTTTCTCAAAAACACTAAACAGATTTTAATTCTGAAAAAAGCATAATAATCGTCGTCATTTTGATGCGTATGTTTATCATGATTTTCTTTAAAGTACTGTTCTTTTACTCGCTTTAGATCTTCAATAAAATCATTGACCTATACCAAAAAAATATATCTTAAAGCAGAATTAAATTAATTAAACTCTGTTCAGTAGTTTTTGAGAAAAAAATTCCGAAAGTTTGTCGATTTCGCCACTTTTTTTCACATTTTTTAAATTGTAAATATCTCGGAAACAAAGCATTTTTCGAATTTTTGTCAAAGAACAAAAAGTGTTTATTTTGGTCCATTTTTAACTGTTTTCAAAGCCATTCGTCTAGTAATTTTTTTTTACAACCATTTTGTTTATAACAATTGATTGACCACGCCCAAAAATATAAAAAAAATATGTAAACAAAAAATAGAATTGGTTTTAAAGTAAATATATGAGCAGGTGCAATTAAAAATGAATAATACACTTAACGAACCAAAGAGTTCAGTAATAATCATGAGATAGGTAGACATGAGATTGATTAAAAGTTAATGATGCAGCCAATTCGATTAAGGCAAGGATCATTAACAACAAATTACCAATCAAACCTAATCTGTTTGAAGTAATTTAGAATTTTGAAGCGAAAATAATAAAAAAACTGTTGAACACAAAAATAAATATCCTCTTTTTTTACTGACAATAAAGCCGTATCAGAATTTCGGGCATGAAATGTGTTTACTTGGATGGCATGCCCTGAAATCTAATAAACCTTTCAGTCGTATAACTTTATAATTTGATCGGTTGCAGGCTCGTGAACGGAGGAACCCCTGACGGCCATTACAGCTACGTTTTTATAGACGAAGGTGGATACGCCACGGAGTCGGAGAGCTTAATTCCGATAGCTGGCATTTTGTCAAATACCACGAACAGGGGAAAGGTAGTAGGCCAGATTGTTTTGGCCGGAGATCCCAGGCAATTAGGACCAGTCGTTCAATCTAATTTCGTTAAATTTTGCGGATACGGTGAGTTTTTATAGTTTAAATTGTGGATTCGGGAACCTCTTCTACACAGGGTGTAGGTAACTTTGAAAAGGGTTTACATAGTGGCTACATTTATCATCGCAACATTGCAATATTGTTTTCTCAAATTCCTTCATCAAAATTGAATTTATATAAAAATCCTTCTCGTAACTTTGATACCCCACCGATGAATATGCTAGTGTAATCTCAATTGGAAGTTACGATGTGCATTGTTGTTAAATTTCATCCATTTGATTTGTATTAAGGCGGGTATTCACTTGTGGCAATGCTCCGTAACGTAACAACGAACATGTTACGGCCTGTTGTAAAAGGTGACACGGTTCGCTGCGAAAGTATGTGTGGTTTTGGTCGTATCATTTATTCCGTAACGTAGCAAAATAAGGTTACGAGACGACACAGGAACATAAACTCGCAGTATGAACCTGACTGCAATAATGGATTTGTCACTGCAATTGCAGTTAGCAGTAGCGTCATATATTTTTATTCATCATAAAATTTTGAAGAATAAGAAACGAAATCTCCGGAAATCTTTTCTTTACTCCACTCCATGGCACAAACATAGAAAAACACACTCTTTCTAGTCACTGCAGAAAACAGACTGATCCCTGACCAAGTACAAAAGACTGACGAAACAAAAAATAAGACAAAATCACATGTGCAATAGGCGACGTTACGGCCAAAAGGGTAACCCCGGCTCAACATGTGGCAGAAAGTACTGTCGCATCCCTTTGATGCGACGACTAAAAACCGACAACTGATGGTTCGTCCCGGATTAGTTACGCGTGCCAAATTTGTACGATGCAACAATTATCCGTCTCCACTAGCTGTAACGTAACATGTTCGGTGTTACGTTACGGGGCATTTGACACAATGGATACCCGCCTTTAGATTGTTGATATCTCATTTAGTTTTTGTGATATTGTTTTGAGTATAGCGTGTTTAAGTGTTGGTAACGATTTTTGAAATGTACGTTCTTTCGGAACAACTACGCAACATCAAATTTTCCGGGAAAACTCACGGAAACGTTTGAATTTTTGAAACAAGCTTACGGACATGATGCTCTGGTTCATGCGCAGTGCTACAAATGATTTTCACGATTTAAAAGTGGTCCTCAATCAATTGACGGTGATCCTCGACCAGGAAGGTCTTCGACTTCAAGTGATAACTCCCTCGTATAGAAAGTCAAAGATCTGGTGCATGTAAATTGCCGATTGACTGTCAGAGAAATTGCAGAAGAGGTTACCATCTCAATTCGTCTGTTGGGCAAAGTCCCAGCAGACGACAGCTAAACAAAGGCTCAGCCAAGTACAAATGATTGCCTGTCTGAGCATAACTGGAACTATGCGAACAACACCCACCATAGCAATGGAGATAATGCTGTGTCTGCCACCTCTGGCTATCTATCTAAGAGAAGTGACCTTAACAACCATGCTTCGCCTTCAAACCGGATGTAGGATATAGAGAAGTTAGTAGTCGCCTATAGAATGGGGTCGTCAAGAAGATGCCCCTTCTGCAAGCAGACACTGACAATCTCCTCGGTTTGCGTTCGACAGACCCCACACCGTACTCATTAGAAGATAGGAGGAGACTTTCCGCGAAGATGTAATCAACGTCTTCACAGACGGATAAAAACGGAAGGAAGGTGCAGGATGTGAAATTTATTCTAAATCCTTGCATATCCGATATCAGTGGGCAACAGATATGCATAGCCGCTAAAGAAATTGCCTGTAAGCACACTACGGGTAAAACCTTCAGAATCTTCACAGATAGTAGACAAGCATTACTGATCTTACGTAATCATAAGATTCAATGGCAATAAAGCTGACAAGTTAGTCAAGAGTGTATCGGATCTCAATATTTTTGGGCCCGGTCCCTACAGTGTGCTTCCGCTGCCAGCACTTATTAGAATCATTAAGGAAATCACCCACAAAGAGTTTATGAAACGATGGGATGATACAAATACTTGTCAATTTGCTAAGGAGTTCTTAGAATACCCCAGCAAGGATACAGCCAAAAAATATCTGGTCATATCTAGGTCAAATCTTTGCCTAGTGACTGGACACTAAGGAAGCACCTTCACAACATGAGGAAGTATGAAACACCTTTTTGTAGGGGTTGTGAACAGAAAGACGAGGCAGTACCACATGTGCTATACGAATGTACATCATCACCTTTTTCTTGTAATAGGTTAGTTAGCGGCTCAGGTGGATTGATCTCCTAACGGGAGGAAATACAAAGGGCCCAATGGGGCCTGAGTGCTGTAGCTTTTAAGCCACCTTTCCTTAATTCCGGATTCCAGATTCCATACTTATCTCATACTAAACTCACCCTAATCGTATTCTTCAATGAGTCACTTAAATCGTACTTGAATTGCCCTCACAAATGAGTGCTAGGTTAGTGACATATTAATAGTGTCTGACGTGTGCTTATACATATGTTACTAATTTATTTATTTTGTGGTTTGATAATATTCTAGCAGTATATTTTAGAAATAATTAAGTCCAGGTATTTAATATAATAATATTATGTACGTGAACGCTATATAAATTATAATTATTTTTTAGTTCTGTTACATACGTTGTTGATTGCTTGTCAAACATTCTACTCTAAATGAAGTACATAGTAGGGAAAATGAACTAAATATGATTATTATTACTTGGATCTGGTATTCAGACCCATGTATTTCCATGTATTTTTTCCGCTGAATCCGAATCTGCCTTCAGATTTGGTCCAAAGGGTCTGAGTTTTCGGAAAAATTAAACGTATGATTTTTCACTCTTTTAATTCCAATTTATCATCATAGTCAGACAAGCTGGTCCGATTTCATTCAAAAACAGAAAATAGATTAAAAAGACTTCCAAGATCTGGGATGTTTAATGAACTACAAGTTGCACTTCCTTCATTCACATCTGGATTGGTTTCCTGAAAATCTTGGAGATTATAGCGAAGAACAAGGCTACCGATTTCATCAGGATAGGAAGGTTACAGAACAGCGATATCAAGGAAGATGGGATGAAAACATGATGGCCGATTTTTGTTAGTTGTACGAAAAATAGAAGGACTAAACGAAAGCGTAACTCGTTGCATAGATCCTTTGAAGAAAAAAGAACACGTTATAGCAACAAAAATCAGAATGATTTGTAGATATTGTTTTCTTTTGTTTAGAAAGTAGAGTATTCTACAAGTTTTATTGCATTCTCAATCTTCTAGGAATCTAGGCTGTTATCTCATCTCTCAGTACAAAAAGTATATGGATATATGGTAGATGGGTGGGTTTTATAGGTGGTAGAGGTGGATGATAGAAAGATGAATGAATTCATAAATGGGTGGGTGGATAAAAAGATGGATCCAGAACTGCCACACGAATTATGCCATGAAAATGGCGTTTTTAATCTATTTTCTGTTTTTGAATGAAATTGGACCAGCTTGTCTGACTATGATGATAAATTGGAATTAAAATAGTGAAAAATCATACGTCTAGTGAGCTGGTAGAATAATTTGATTTTTTATAACTTTCGTCGATCGTAAATTACGTTTTTTGTGAATTTTGACCTTTTTTTTTAATTTTCCCGAAAACTCAGACCCGTTGGGACAAATCTGAAGGCAGATTCGGATTCAGCGGAAAAAAATACATGGAAATACATGTGTCTGAATACCAGATCCGATACTTTTTTATTTTGTGGGGCTGTGAATTAATTAGACCTTTTGATTTTCATTATTTATTTAAATGTAATTTATTATATATACACTTTCAACGTGAGTTATTCAAATTCAAAATAAAGAAATACTGTGACATTAGGTTTCCACTGATGACATACTTTTGGTAATATTTGAGTAGTCAATTGTTCCCTTATCTAGTAATTTGTGGTTTGATGCACACTCAAATTAGTCACTCATTTATACACATTTCTGAATACCAGAATTGAGAATGAGATGAGGGCATACCCTAAGTTCAGTGAAGCATATGTTTGATATGAGTGAAATGTTAGTATAGATTTAGGGAAGTCTCTGAATTTGACCCTAAGTCTAATAAAATGAAACGATGACATGTACAGCCAAGCGCCCTGCTGTCATATCACATCAGGTGGATTGATATAAAGCTCCTTTAACCTAGGTCACAAGTCATTGATATTGTGATTCACAAATAAACACAGTGCCTGGCTCTCGAAATGTTACTTTATTTTAAACTTATTGTAGAGCAAATTTAAAATTTTTTGTAGAAATATCCTGTTATCCATTTCCTTGAAACTGCTATCCAGATTCCTATTTTCTGAGGATGTATCGGTATTTCAGTAAAGTTGTGCGGATATTCTGTTGTCTAAGTTTTATAATTCTGACTCGTTATATAACCAGATAAATGTACCGATGCCTCATCGGAATGAAACATCAGGTCTAACAAATTATCGTCGTTTAGATGTACATTAAACAATATTGTACTCATAGACTGTAATCAGGTAAACGCAACTCTTCCACAATACTTACAAATTTTATAGGGATGCATATGCAGCTGCTTTTTTAATGCCTTATGACAAGATGTAACTGACACACTTACGAATATGTTATATGTACAACTATTTCTCGTAAATTCACGAATTAATCAACATAAACTTGCGAGATTTTATAGGTTGATAAACATATATTAAGCCTAAAAAAAATGGTAATATTTAAAGAAATTCAAAATTATTTTATTAATCATGTGTAATTTGTTTTAGCGTAAGAGTACCTTTACCTTTAGCATAAAAAAATTACATAGCTCAAACTACATTAAGTTCATCGCAGTACCTGTTTAAGTAGATAACTATGAAACACATTTCCTACCACCTTAAAAGAGAAAGTTTGCCCTTGCAAATACAGTGTTTTTCTTCATATTAGGTCAATTAGATTATATAAGCACAGAAACACTGGTAAACGCTGCTAAATTGTACAGAAAACAAGCACAAAAACATAATCCGAATTGACATTTGAATTTTTTTGGCAAAGGCATATCGCCCGATAAGTTTAACATCTTTCCTCCTGAAAACGTTGGAGAGAATAGTTGATAGGCATATAAGGGACAGGGTGTTGAGGGCAAATCCTCTGCACGGATACCAATACGCCTATCAGGCAGGCAGATCAGCCGACACAGCCCTTCATAGCCTAGTCTCTAGGATAGGGAGGGCGATGGACGACAAAAATCTAGCTTTGGCAGCTTTTTTAGATATTGAAGGGGCATTTGATAATACACCTTTTGAATCTATTAATTCGGCATTGATGACACTTTGTGTCGTTGGATAGATAACATGTTGAGAAACCGGACAGTAACAGCTACCCTTTCGGGAGAGACATCCAGGTGTAAGGTAGGGCGGGGCAGCCCCCAGGGAGGCGTACTGTCTCCCTTGTTATGGGGATTAGTGGTGGACGGCGCACTGGAGGGCCTTAATCGAAAGGGATTTTATACACAAGGCTATGCGGACGACTTAGTCGTTCTCATAGTCGGAAAACATAATATTATCGTTTCAGAACTCATGAAAGAGGCTTTGAAATGGATAGATGACTGGTGTAAGGGGCAGGCACTGTCAGTAAACCCTGACAAAACGGTCGTAGTACCCCTCACCAGGAGAAGGAATTTAATTGGACTCTCTGAACCTATGATAGGGGAGAGGAGCATTACACTTTCCAGGGAAGTAAAGTATCTAGGAGTGATACTGGATAATAAACTTACCTGGAATGCGCACTTGGAAAAAGTGGTGAGTAAGGTGAGACAGACATTGTGTGTATGCCGTCGCCTTATTGGGAGCACCTGGGGACTGAAACCAAAGATGTCATACTGGTTGTATACGTCGATAGTAAGACATAGGATCCTTTACGGCGCTGTGGTTTGGTGGCAGAAAACACAACAGGCCACAGCGAGGGACAAACTGAATAGAATTCAGAGATTGGCCTGTTTAGGTATAACGGGGGCGATGGCATCGACCCCGACAACTGCACTAGAAGTCATGCTAAATCTGCCACCGCTGCATATAGTGGTGGAAAGAGAAGCGCGGCTAGCAGCATATCGACTCAGAAATAACAATGACTGGAGGGGTGGTTCCCACTCCAGGATCATAGACACATCTATGTTGGAACCAACTTTAGGGATGGTATCTGACAAGATGGTTCCAAGGTTTCACTTCCACAATCCATTTGAGACTCGAATAGAGGATCAAAGCAAGTGGGAGGAAAGGATTAATACTCTGGAAAGGTGGAGCCTAGTATGGTTTACAGATGGCTCCAAAATGACCAGAGGGACGGGTGCAGGAATATATGGACTCAGACCCAGATGGAGTGCAAGCTACAGTCTGGGGGAGTACCCCACTGTATTCCAAGCAGAAATCTTCGCGATAATGGCGTGTCTGGCAGAGAATGTACGTAGAGGTTACAGACGTAAACTCATATATATATTCTCTGATAGTCAAGCTGCAATTAAAGCTTTAGCCGCACTCAAGGTAAGTTCAAAACTGGTGTGGGACTGTTTACAGATGCTGACTGAACTGGCCACCAACAATACAGTCAGACTGTGTTGGGTGCCAGGGCACAAAGGCATCTGTGGAAATGAGAAAGCGGATGAACTTGCTAGGAAGGGATCCGAGACAGAGTTCATTGGCCCGGAGCCGTTCTGTGGCACATCTCCCAGTGTGGTCAGGCGGGCTCTGGGCAAATGGACTGAGACAGAACACAGGAAATACTGGACTTCAAGGCCAGGACATAGCCATTCTAAGGAGCTTATGGAGTATCCTTCGAAGGGAAGAGCGAATGAGCTACTGAGCTTGAACAGAATCCGGCTCAGGAAAGTGACAGGACTCATAACGGGACACTGTCACTTTAGGAAACATCTACATAAGCTAAAGCTTGTAGACAGTCCGGTCTGCCGAGGATGTGAATCGGCGGATGAAACTTCTCTGCATATCCTGGGCGAGTGCCCGGGATTTGCACGTAGCAGAATGGCGCTCCTTGGAAGACCCTATTTGGAACCCAAGGAACTGAGAGAAGTGTCAGCAAGGAAGCTTTTGGACTTTGTAAAAAGGACAAATCTACTTGCTGAATAGGACTGGTAGTGGGACGCACAATAGGCCTAATTAGGCCGCAGTGCTATGGGACTTTTCAAGGACCAACCACTAGATGAATATGAAGATGAAGATGAAAACATTTGAACCAAGGTCCCAGTTGGAGATTTTTCTCTAATAATTTCCAAAGCACCAACTTAATGAAATCAAATTTACTGAGCACCAAAATAAATCTGATCACGTGAGACTCAGACAATGGTGGAGACAACTTTCTATAGTCCACCAAAACACAGTTCTGGGCTGGCAACTAGCAGCGACAATTGTAACGATGTCTAAATTCACATCGTTTCTAAATATAACTTTCCGGGACCTTCGCTAAAGTCTTCCCAAGAATCTTTTCTCTTTTACACCGTCTATATTAGGAACAGCTCCCACTTTCGAGTATGCCAGTTACTCGTTTTAATATACCGAATGTTCTAGAGTATCCAAGAACTTTTGCATCAAACTAATCATCATATTCTGATGTCTTTTTTGTCAAACACATTTGCTGGTTTTAGTGTTTACTACTAACAAATACATTCTTTGTATTTTTCAGGTACGTCCATGTTGGAAAGATTAATAGATACATGTAAAATATACGCTAGAGACGAAAGTCAGGTCATACCTTACAACGACAGATACGTAACGAAGCTGTTAAGGAATTACAGATCGAACAAGGAGATACTAAATATACCCAACAAATTATTCTACCACAACGAACTCATTCCAGTCGGCAGTGTATCCTCGGACATGTTTACGTACTGGGAACATTTAATGACGCCCGGATTTCCTGTTATTTTTCATCATATCGTTGGGGAAGATAGCAGGGAGTATAATTCTCCGAGGTAAGGGGATAAATGGGTTTAACGGAGCGTTAATTTGATACTTATTTTCTCGTTATGACGTTTTTATTGAAGTTAAATCGTAATTGCATTTTTAATTAAACGCTGGTATTTTAAATGAAAATTAATAATAACTTCTTTTTTATATTATTACACACAAGAAAACAAGTTTTTCGTTCCGTTGGTTAAATAGAGATCATTATTAAACTCTTAAAAAGATTTATTCAAGGCACAAGACAAATATTCTTGTGTGAGAGGACTCCATAGCAAATAGGCAACCAGCAACACATTTTTATAGATTTTATTACATAGTGTGTCTAAATGTGAATCAATGCACAAATAACCGACTTTCCACCATTCTAACGCAGATTTTCTATAAAGTGGAGTTGTAAAGAAATTTGTAATTTGCCGCTTTTAAACAAACGGCAATTTTTTTAACCAAAAAGTTATTTGAGTTTCAAACTAAGTCCATTTTATAGAAAATCTGCCGTAAAATGGGGGAAAGTCTGTTATTTGTGCATTAATTCATATTTAGACAAACTGTGTAATAAAATCTATGAAAATGTATTGCTGGTTGCCTATTTGCTATAGAGTCCTCTTAAAATATAATTCCACTGTTGATTCTTAAGCTAGGATATGTTACACTCACATGACCTTGATCATATTCTAATGTGTTGCAATTATACTTTTAATGAATTTGTTTGGAACATCTATCTGTCAGCCCTATAAAAAATGTTCAGTTCGTGTCTTTATATGAAAAATCCCAACTTTGAGATGAACTTGTTGGATGAAGAAACGTAAACTATTATTGCAGAAAAATTTGCTCTTAACAATAAATATTATGAACATTCATAAATCATAATTCCATTCTTGTTGAATAACTAGCTTTTCCTTGTTCGAAAAATGTTTAATAGAACCATTGGCTGGTGCACCAACACTCTGACGGCGATCTGCCAGATATTAGGCCTAGAACACATTATTAGAACGTACATGTCGACACGTTAATGCGTCACATCACAACACTATTCTTCAGGTACACTGATCACGTTATTCTGAAATGCTATTTGTCCAGACGGTATTTAATTATGTACCTTTTCAAGAGTTGATTTTAGGCGAAAATAGAAGAGGAAAAAATGTCTTTAATTAAGTTTTTTACAAAATGTGACTAGTTACAAATCGAATAAATCATGATTATTATTGTAAAAATCGAAAATAATTGGGTTAAAAAACATTACTTTTTGGGAATTTTTTGGGGGTCTTTAAATTGGGTATAGGACCTTCATACTTGCTTCAAGAAAACTTCATGTTATATAGAATCATCACACCAAATTTCATCAAAATCGGTTTGATAAATTTTGTATAATAATTTTGCAATCTCAAATTTGAAAAGAAATATTGCAAATTTTTAAAATTGCGCAGCAAAACCAAGGCCCTTAGAAACTTGAAAATTTAATCACATATAGAAGGGCTCTCAAGCTTTCACACGCTTTCTGAAAAATTCGAATCCGTCAATTAGGAGGAGCTCTGGCGCTTGTTTAAACATTGGTCGACTTTTTGTACTTATAAACAATTAGAATAACTTTGTGAATATTCAGGCAAATGAAATTTTAAAATAAATAGGTTTTAAAAGTTCTTGGAAAGACGCTTCTTTAAAAAAAAAACAGATCGATTGGTCAATTAATTACGTAGTTATAGCTGATCAAAATTAACCATCATTTACTCTAAATGTACTGGGACATCCGGGCTAATCTTTCGAAAAATACCTTTGGTATTCCGAGTACTTACCAGGTTTAAGTTTGCAATACTTTTCTTCATTGGCAACCTACTATAAAACGTATTTAAAGTAATTTATGCAAGCGAGAAATTCAAGAAAATCGTACGGGTGGCGGTTAAAAATTTTCAATATCTCGGCTTCTAGAGGTCCGATTTTGATGATTTCTTTTTAAATCGATGTCTCGCGATTTAAAAATTTGAAAATACGCTAATTGTTTTTTAACTCGCGAGACATCGATTTAAAGAAAAATCAAAATTGGACCTCTAGAAACTGAGATATGAAAAAAATTTTAAGCGTGTTGCGGTTTTAAACTCGCCGATTCAATTTCGAGCAGGCCGAAGCGGCCGCGCTCTCTGCTTCCCCCACCACCACCACCCGTACGATTTTCTTGAATTTGAATAGTTATTTATGGTATAGTTTTTCCGATATCAATTGAAGAACCAACAGATTGATAGTATGTACCGGGTTCGGTCGCTGACGCAGCAACTCGGCATTGAAATATTAGAAAAACTTGTTCCCATATTTATTTAGTCATACCCATATACAGGTCTGGTCGAACTAAACGTGGAGGCGATAGAAATGTATACGCTCAGTTGAAGAATGCGAGCGCGGGCAAAGGAAAACGATTACAGTTGCATTGGGCTACTGGGCAATAAATCACAGCAGACCACAAGTGGTTGATAAATTGCTCAGCAGTGCAGTGCAGCAATGCGGAATTTGGTGTGATTCAGGTAATTTTAATTTATTATATGCACCTTGTATCAATAATTCATTTTACAATTGCGAAAGGGAGAAATAAGAGGGAGATATTTTGTTTACTAATATTATTACAGCATGGCATTTTGGAGACCTTTTGAAACGGAACAAAACGAAATTTACCATCAATATAATAAAATTCTTTGAGGGCATAAATAATTAAAATATGTTGTTGGCCAAATGAACATATAATAGAGATTTTCTACACATTATATACAAATTATTATAATTTTTTACCTTTAGCAGAAAATTTTTTTAGGACGCCTATGAACAGTTTTACTACAAAATTGTACGAGAAGCTTACCGAGTATCTAATATCTTCGTTAATATCTGCAACTTACCACCATCATAAAAAATTTATCGATAATGTATACAGACAAGTTAGGTATAATGGTTCTATCTGGTGTGGGTAAATGCGGGTGTTTTGTGTTTGAATGTGTTCGTTCAGCCGCATTGTTGTAGATAATGCGCGAGATTGATTAATTTTTTGCTTAACGACAGGAGGAAATTGGCTTTCATGAGCTTCATTGGGGGCTAACAGATAATAGAAAACTATGTTAATAATAATATGGTAATAACTACGTAACACTGAGGTATCGATATTATGTGTATATACCTACAGAATTTAATTTTAGTCGAAATTTGTATACAGGCTGGTTCAGTCATAATGTCATTAATTTTAAGGGAGGTAGCGAAAAATTTTAAAATGTACATTTACGTTGAAAAATATTTTCAAATCGTATTTAAATCCCTTTTAGGACCGCTCCTGATCGCTGACCCAAAAAGGTTTATCGAGAGTGAATCTTGACCTACCGTATTATTTGGTCACTAACTTAGTTTTTACTGCAGTTTTAATACGTTGTGAACGACAAGGAGTTAACAGATCTTTTTACCTAGACACATGAATGAATAACATATTTTGTGCAAAATTCAATTCTAAAACTTTTTTCCTCTTCAATATTCTTCCACAATGCATAGGTTCCGAGATATAAGTAAAGAAGTAAATTTTTTAAACAGTTTTGCAATTTTGAAAATGACCTCGCCCAGATCTAGGGGTCTACACTTTTATTATGTGAGTTGTATTAAAGGTAATCCAGACAAAATTTGTTTGCCCCCGCTTAAATCCACCTCAAAACAGATCCGCCCTGATCTATTCATATTAATAAAACAACATTTTGTATGATACATATCAAAAACATTGACATTAGGATTAGATTAATGTGAATTGTTATTTTACGTAACCAATAAATTTCATTTCTAAAAATATACACCGGGTGGGGCATTTATCTTGAGACAAAATAATGTCTCGGTTGGACTCGATTATTTCAAAAAAAGTTTCAGACAAAAATTGTAGGGCACCGAGGGGGCCATTGAAAGGTCCATATAACGACTTCCGGTCTAGACCGGAAGTTGTTTTTTTAGACCAGAAGTTAATTTTTTTAAATGGAAACATCCTTTTTTACCACGATTTTTTATTGAAAAACGAAAAAAAATACTTTTTGTTCTTACTATTTTTGCGATTGAACCCATATTTTGGCCATAAAATGGTCATAAAAAACAAAAAAAAAAAAAAACAAAAATCTAGAGACAACGCAGTACCTTGTTGCGATCGCTTTTTTAGAAAATGTTTCATAGAAAAGTTGTAGGGAGAAAAGGGGGCTATCTTGACATGACCGTGAAAACGACCTTGACCTTGACTTCAAGATCGTTTGAAGATCAACGCCAAGGTCGAAAAACGACGTGGACGTAGTAGTTTTATATTCCCTTTGCGGTGTTTATTTTCGGTGAAATGAAGAATTTCTTCAGATTTCTGAAGATTTTTATGATTTGCTGAACACTGAAGTGTGTATTTGATCCGTGGCATTTTCTATTCGCTGGTACAATCAGGACAAAAACCGTATGAGTGCGTATCTGTTATAGGTTACGGTTTGAGGACAATGGAGACCATGGCCAATTATTTAATAGCCGTTTTAAACACAACTGACATGCGAATGAGAAATCTTATGGTTTGTACAAATATTTGTGAATGGAATAAGTGAGAACAGTCTATTAACATCTCAAATAATAGTACAGCTTAGCGCAACTATTGATTATTATGATAACATTATACATTGGAATGTATTCCATGTTATTTCATATTTGAAGTTGCTCGGAAAAATGTTAAAATTAACACTACAACTAAAAAACTTCTTATATAGGGTATCCCGGTACTTGATACAAAAAAGTCGAGTTCATATAATTTTTTTTCATACGGGCCTTCGTTAATAAGTTACGGGCCCTCGAAGGTGAAAAGTAAAGTTATTTTTATTTACAGCCTCTAAACCATTAACATCAGCATGATGCAAATTTGGTGATCGATAACATATGCGTACAGCTTGTTTCTGATGTTGTAACTGAAACTTCATTATACCCAGAATGGCAGGTATGGCGATCGCAATCTGCCTGTCTCAAAAATAAGTTCCCTCAATAATTTTCCAACAATAACACCCTCTTGGTTAAACTCGGTAAAATTGAGAGTTAAGGAAATATTTCTGATTTTATGTCACAGTGCACATCGAGTGGCGCCTCCACCATTTTTGGTTTTTAATTTTTAATTGGACATAATTACTATACTAAAACCGTACATGTTTTTAAAATAAGAGCCTAGAAAATGTAACTGTCTGCTAATGTAATTTTCGTTAACAAAATTTGACAAATACACTTTACACATAAAACAAAACAGAAGAACAAAACAAAAATAAGTTAAGAGAAATAATTTAAAAGAAAGGAACTGTAAAAATACATTTTCAATATGGGCATCTTCCACCTTCGCACACTTCCTAAGTCTACGAATGTTATTTTGTACACGAAACAACATTTCTGGGGTATGTCTAGTATTATCACAATGCAAATTAATTCTTTGTAGCAATTCATCCCTTGTCTGTACTGAGGTTGCGTACACTAAACTTTTTAGGTATTCCCACAGGAAGAAGTCCATCAGGTTAAAGACTAGAGAACGTGGAGGCCATAAAATTGGGCCGCCACTCCCAATCCATTTATTATTAAACACAATGGATAAATAATTTTGTACATCAAAATTGAAATGGTGAGGAGCAATCGTGCATGAACCAAACGTTTCTTTGGGTGTCTAATGGAACATAGTCTAATAATGTCTGAAAATTATTTTGTAAAAATTACAAATATCAATGTCCATTCAATCGTTCTCCAAAAACATATGGACCTTTTAAATTATTACCCACTATTCCTGCACATACATTAATTTATGAATCTGTGCTGGTCTTTTATTAGCACAGTACCTACCGTGCGGATTCTCATCATCCCATAAATGTAAGTTGTATGAACTAAGAATTAAGAACTTATTCTTGTTTTGTTTTTCTATTTTGTGTTATGTGTAAAGTGCGCTTGTCAAATTTTGTTAGTGAAAATTACATTAGCAGACAGTAAAATTTTTTAGGCTCTTATTTTAAAAATATGTACGGTTCTAATATAGTAATTATGTCTAATTAAAAATTTTTAAAAAATGGTGGAGGCGCAGCTCGATGTGCATTGTGACATAAAATCACAAATATTTCCTAAATTGTTAATTTTACCGAGTTGAACCAAGAGGGTATTATCGTCGGCAACTTCAGGGGACTTATTTTTGATACAGGCAGATTGCAATAATGCAATAATTCTGGGTAATTAACCATTAGGCGTAGTACGTCCCTGGCGTTTTAGAATTAATGAAGTTTCACTTATATCAAAAAAAGCTGTACGCCTGTGTTATCCATCACCAAATTTGCATCATGCTGAAGTTAATGGTTTAGAGACTGTAACTAATAATAACTATTTATTTTCACATTTGACGGCCCGTAACTTGTTAACGAAGGCCCATATGAAAAAAATTTATATGAAGAACTGATATTATTTTGACCTCATCTATCTGTACTCGACTTGTTTGTATCAAGTACCGGGACACCCCGTATATGTTCTTATATCATAGCACGTAACATAAAAAGAAAAGAAATATTAATTATGAATAATTTTTTTTGTTACATTTAATTACCCTTGCAGCTTCTTCAACATTCAAGAGATCGAAGAAGTTATGGTGTATACACAAAAGCTAGTTGGAGGTCGTGTGAAAGGAATTGAAATTACTCAAGAAGATATTGGTATAATTACTCCCTACAAAAAGCAAGTAAGTATTCTGATTACATAATAGACAGTTATTTTTTTTTTAATAATGATACCATGTATTTTCAATTTGACAGCAAATGTATGGATTGCGAAGGGGTGCAATTTAACAGAATTAAAATACTTTAAAAGAAAACTTATGTTCAAAAGATTTTTAAAACGTATCGATTTTTTCTAGGGAAGCAAATTTTCCTACGACTGAAAGTTCCAACTTTACTAACATCTTTCGTGAACACTGTTAGCGATCAGAGTTAGTCATTATTATTTGTGTTAGTGTGGATGTGGAGCAAACTGAATTGATTAGCAAACAATGTTCTTAGTTTGCAAATGTTATTACATTATTCGCAAATACTGTGTGGATACGGCATTAGACAGGTTGTTAATTAGTTCTACTGTCAAACTTCTCTCTCTCTCTCAAGGATATTTCTTGGTGAAGAACATAAAAGGGTTCAATACTGACAATAGTATTTAATGTCTTCTAAATCCGTCGAAATATCATTAAAAAATTATGTACCAAATAGTGAATAGTGAATCTAAAAACTAATAAAATTTTTTTAGACTAATGTTGTTAACTGCGAGGAGTAATAATTTTTTGTAATGAAATTGATATAAAAAAAGCAGAGTGCATTATTTCGACTATTTTTCAAATTATTGAAAAAGGGGTTACGCCATGCAATAAATCGATTTTAATTTTTTTACTCGAAAACGGTGCGTCATAAGGAAAACAGTCGCGATACCTTTTCTCTTTCAAATTGAACAAGGAATTAAAAAATATTATTTTAAGAAAAATCAGTGGCGAATCATTTTTTTATTTAAAACTATTCAGACGTGCCTGTGCGCACGCCACTGGTGAAACTGAAAACATGTATTGTTGTTAACTGTCAAAGCCTGTAAAATTTCAATAAAATATACTCAGCGGTTTCCACAATATTTAAGTTTTCGCAATATTTAAAAATTTGCATTTTCTTATTAAAACTTTTGATCGGAAATTAAGCGTTTTCGGAATATGGTATATTTAGGAAATATATCACAAATCACTCGTACTTTAACCTCCTGCAAGGAATGCATCAACTTACCAAACACTCTGTATATAAGTTGTAGGTATACAGGGATTCAGTTCAGGTGAATGTACTTTAAGCACAATAAATAATTCGGAATTGCCTTATAAAGCAAGGGTCTAAGTCTCATCGTTTTCACTGTACAGGGTGATTCACTATATCTTGACCCCCCTTTAACTTTTTTGTTTTAAGAGTTATAATCAATTTTTCGAAAATGACATTTGAGAAATGAAGTCCAAACAAAATGGCCGCGGATGTTAACTTTGTTAATTTAAATGGAACACCCTGTATATTTTTACATATTTGGGTAGAACGTTCCCTGTCAAGCGTAGTCATATAGGGTTTATTCTGTCTCAGCCAGAACCAGATACAGACGTTTTGTCTCGAAAAATTCATCTTCAGTGTGTTCGTTCCAAATTTATCTAGATTTCTTTGTTTATCGAATTATCGTACACTCTAAGTGTCGTTAGACCCTGTGAAATCCATCTAGTTATGTAAAGTATTACCTCCACGCGTTACAATAATACATTTATTATTAACTAACCATCAGTTGGTCATACATAACTCATAAGTTGTTGCGTCAAAATTAAAACATTATTACAATTTTAATTTTATTACATATTAATTCTTAAAAATGCATATGAACAACAACACGCCTACTGAATATTATTCTTTAAAAAATTTCAGTAAATGTTCAAAAACATTTTCGTTTTGGCAAAGGTTAAAAATGAAGGTCAACGTAATATTATTGGAATTTATTATATCTGTAACTGCAACTGCACTGAAAAAACAATTACTTTCTATTAAAGCAATCGGTTGTTTTGAATGCAGTTAGTTTACATTTATGCTGNAGACTAATCAAGAAAGAAATACGTCCAATATTAGTGTAAAAAACAATTCACTTTTTATAAACCATTGATTTATTAATATTAAAATAACCTATTTTCACTGAAAAACTGTTAGTTCACATTAAGCTAAGATATATTTCTAATAATCTTATGTCATCTACATCTTAAAATATGTAGATTAATAATAAAGATGCGAAATGTAATATTACACTAAAAATAAATTAACATTCAAATAAGATTTATTACAAAACTATGAACTTTTTATTAGTTACTTTTCACACTAAACAAAACAAACCAAAACTAGGATTAGTTCATGGCAAACGATATTTATTTAGTCAAAATAAATCCTTTTTTCAGTGTGTGAAAGAGCATGTCAGATGTATTTGTATGAACATCCGGAAAAAAAAAACAGATCGGAATTTGTTTGAATTTTGAGTACTCGAGAAGCCTAGAAATAACTATGGACACGGGAATAAAACTCTAATAATGTTTTATTTTAATGCGTTGGGGTAATAGTTTAAATAACTAGATGGATTTCACAGGGTCTAACGACACTTACAGTCTACGATAATCAATAAACAAACAAATCTAAATAAAAAAATTAGATAAATTTGGAACGAATACATTGAAGATTAATTTTTCGAGACAAAAGGTCTAAATCTGGTTCGGGCTGAAGCAGTACAGTATTGGAGACCATGAAGGCTTGCAAAAAATGTAAAAAAATTTCCAAAGTCGTATTTAAAAAAATGAAGTTGATGATGGTCCCGGAGAAACGAAACGTTACATATAAAAATTGATTATGCCATTCGATAGAGGGCAAAAAATGGCCATGAGAAAGTGTTCTTCTTTTTTCAATATCAACTCAAATAAAGCTGAAAGTAAACAAAAACGGATTTCCAAAATTTCGTTTTTTTTTCAAATATTTCGAAAACTAATCATGTTAGCCTTGATTTTTTAGAGGCATAATGTTAGTTCCCTGATTACGCAATTTTGCCCCCATTTAAGCTACTTCGTACTAGGGTTTCTGGTCGAGACTTCTCGAAGCGAGAATTCCCGGGAAATCTGGCCTTACTCGAGACGAGAAAAAGTGTCGAGAAATCGAGAAATTTAAAAATCACGCGCGTCTTAAGTTCTTGATTGGAGTTCGTTTCGTTCAATTCGTTTCTCGACAAATAACTGAGCGGTTAAAGTGGTTTCTCGACTAGCTCATGGTTTATTTATTTTAAATTTTTAAGGCTTTAGTTTACTTTGACGATTCTTATTTCTTTAATGTATCTTGTTATAAGTCTGTATAGAATTTTTATTATAATCAGATACCTAATGTTGATGTTGATTCTGAAAATATTTAGTTCCTGTTCCTTTAGTTGATTAATTTATTTTTGTTTTGTTAATCAAAAGATTGTGATTATAAGTGATAAATTAATAGGAAGAACGCTTCTGTATCTTTAAATTAAAGCTTGTTTTTTTTTAAAGATTTCTTCGGTTAAATTTCTTATTTACTATTTGTTTAATTAAAAGACTGCATGATTAATGATTATTAATAATTATTGGAAGAAAGCTACGATTTAAAAACATTGAAATAAACATAAGTAATAACATAATAAAGTGTTTAATATAAAAAAACAAATTGAAGGTTTTTAAGAAGAAGATACTCAAAGTTTAATTTAGTTTTGTTAGTAGAAGTAGAAACATATAAGTAATTAATAAAAATACTGAATAAATAATAAATGTTAATGATGACAGTTAAGTATAATAGCATGTTTATATTTCGCATTGCAATACCAAAATTATGACTTTTTTAAGTTTTAGAAATTTCTTGAGAATTCGAGAATTCCCGGGAATTCCTAGTCGAGAATTCTCGAGTCCCGAGAAAAAAGGTAGGCCGAGAAATCAGAAATCCTACTTCGTACATCTTCCCGTTTCCGAGATTCCTGTAGTGAGAAGCGAATTTGTAACATCCTGTATGTATAAGATAATTTTTTTTCACATTACCGTCAGTCTTTCATGCTACAGAATGAAATGCTACATTTTCCACATTCTGTCATTTGGTATCAAGATGGCTACAAAAAAAGCGAGTAACATCCATAAATTTTCTTGATTGTAGAGAGTCAAAAATAGTTTCAAGCTGCAATATATCCGTAAAAAGTCATCATTTATCCCCAATTCGTGTAAATGACTGTTAATTATGAGCAAAAAAGTCCCTACAGAAGATTGGCGGTCGAATTAAAAACCACTCTGTATAGGAAAAATAGTATATTATATATTTCGTATTTGTATTTCACCCCAATAAATTTGAAAGAAAAAATTTTCCGTAAGTAGTATAGTATCTACATCAGAATTTCAATGCTTAGGTACGTATAAATGAATATGTTCCCACGCCTCCAAAATGTTAGTGAATGATAAAATCTCGTGTTCTAAATATTAAAGCTGCTATAAAAAATTTGCTAGCTAATGGTTTTGAGGTTTATTTGCTTAATTTTTAATTTGTTTCATAACTGGAATGAAATCCTATCAGGTAATTGTTCCCACGGATGGCAATTGTTTTTGCACGTAGGAATTTTTAGATTTAAGCGTAAAAGATTGAAATCGTTAAAAGTTAAAATTAATATTGGTAACAAAAAAATTTTTTGCCACGAATAACTCAATACAAAAATAGTACAAATTAACAAATCAATAAAAAGGCGAAGCATATGATTAAAATTGGGGCGATTCTTAACATAGAAGAACCAAATTTAGTACGAGACCTAAATTCATTAGGTATATTAAATTAATTGTAAATTAATGGCAAAGAAAGTACCTCAAGGCAAGTAATACACCTTACATTCTTCCAAATACTTGTTCTTCACTGGCTTATTTTAAAAAAACTTCGTGTCATGCACAATTCTATTTGCAGCTTTTTTTACTTTCACTAATTTTTAATACACCTCATAAGTGAGGCACAGTAATCTTAATTTAAAAATAATCGAAAAATAATTCATGAATGCATCTGTCAAATGTGACAAATAATTAATATTGTTCCATTCATGTACACACTTCGAAGATGACTGGAAAGTTTTTGCTGTTAATATTAATAAGTTTCTGTGAGATAAATTGTAGAAGTGTGGAGAAATATCGGAAGTTTCCTGATCGTGTGGAAACATCCAATATTGAAAGACGTGCTCGAGGGGAATATTTTCCGTAAATAGTAACTTTGAGACTGTTTCAATGTATAAATAAAAAATAATTCGTAAATCCGTACTGGACCTTGACTTGACAAACCGGGATATCACCAATTTCATTTCACCGAATTATTAAACGGAATCAACTGCGTCCATATCATGTCCAAAAAGTTTAAAAACTATTGTCTCGAGATTTGATTTCAACGATTGACCCCTGTCACTTTCACTTTACACAGGAAATTAATTTTCGTTAAAAAAATAGTTTTAGTTCTTGTATAATTAATAAAATATATATATAATTATTATATAAGTGTTTTAAGTAGCAATTTATGTACATAAGAATGTTTAATATTCTTCAGTAGATAAAATATACTACGTTTTATCCATAATCACATCACAGTTATATTTGTGGAGAATTGTTTAAATTAACAGTCCTATCTGAATTTGGAAAAATGCAAGAAAGTAATTGTGATTCTGTGGCGGTTTTTGAAGAAGCCCAAGACGCAATTGCGAATTGACAAATTTGAAAATTAGTAACGTACAGGATGTTGGCAGTTACCTACTTGTTTCAATACCTGACACCAAGACGGGCATTTCAAGAAAATTTACAATTAGATGAAGATTTTGCTTGAATGCTATTAAAATATGCAGAAAATATATTTCTCTGCGCCCAATGCACCTAACACAAGACATATTCTTTTTACATACATCAATCAATAATGTACTTCTCAGCCTGTTGGAATCAATACATTGGCTAAGGTGCTCTCAATAGTTGCTTCATTCCAGAAGCATATACTGGTCATTGTATGAGGCGCATTTCAACAACTTTATTGGCCAATAAATGTGCTGATCCTACAACCATCACACGGCATGGTGGGTGGAAGAGTTTCTCTGTAGCAGAAAGTTATGTTGATGAGTCTATATCTAACAAAATTGATATTGCAAGGAACATTCAAGGAAAATATAGCTGTTCCTTACAAGAAGAGTAACTGCAAATTCTTCACAAACTTCGGCAGATGTTATGCGTTCTGAAAATGATGGCAACAATGCTACAATGCTACAATTAAATGTGATAACACAAAAAACGAAATGTCTATTACTGTAAATATAAATGTTGATGTTAATAAGTAAATAAATTAAGTTTGATCTATTGTAGGTTTATTATTTTTTCATTAGTCTACTAGTGAAATAAAGTTACTTTATTCCACTAGTGGATAAAGTATCATTTTAGTCGGTTCATATGTGTGGATAAAAGTTATAAGGTGATTGTGGATAAAATAATGAATAAATGAATTACGAGGGTTCTGGGTTTTATACCTACGAAATCTTCAAAGCGTAAGTTAAATGTTTAGGCCAAGCCAGTATTACTGGATGTTATTTGATTGGATCAGTTATTTTACCAGTTCGACTAAACGAAAGTTATTTATAATCTCTGCAAAACTCTCTGTTTTATGAATATAGCTGTTTCTTTTTGTGTTTGTTTTGACAGCTCAGTATATTTGCCCTAACATCGCTGTTGCAGCCTATTTAATATTATTCACTTTTCTAATCTATTCATTTATTCTAGGCCCAAATGTTGCGCAAAGCTTGCGAGAAACAAGGATGGAACGACTTATTGGTGGGGTCAGTAGAACAATTTCAGGGAAAGGAGAAGCTGGTTATAATTATTTCAACAGTGAGGTCAAAAAATGTCAATATATTCAAGGAAATCGACAAAAAGTGTCAGTTGGGCTTCGTCAGCCACGCCAAGGTAATTCTTTAATAGACATGCCTTTCCGCTATTTTAAGACACCTTCGAATAAGTTACTGCTTGTAATTTTTTTCACTGTTTCATAATGTTCCAGCTGTAGGAAAATTTAGATTACTTTTTATGTGTATCAGAACATTAAGTTGAAACGCTCAGATAATAAACAAAACGATGCACAAATATGTGAAATAACCAGTTCTAAAATTTAGTATATGTGATACTAAAAATATTGAAGATAGAAAATCGTCTAGAAGCAGCTCGTTAGTATCATTTTAATGGATATGAAATACCGGCTGAAATAATATTTGACAAATATTTTGATAAACAAATAGATGGTTAAAACATTATACATATTTTTGAGACGCTGTATAATAATACTGAAGTACCTCAGATAAAAACTTATTAGTCTAGGAGCCAAATAGGGCTCCGTAGCCAATCAAAGTGCCACGACTGCAAACAACTTATTCTTAAGTATTTTGACCTTCTGAATCCAAAAGTCTTAGCCTCAAAGCCTGAAACTGGTCAGTTTAATTGTTATGAACAAATTAAATGTTTAAATGACCGTAAAAAGTTTATTTTTACAGATAGTACTATTTTTTATGCGTTGATAGTTACGTTTTCTCATAACGAACATATACTTTTTGAAAATTAAAAAAGATTAACTTTAACCAAAGTTATTGCAAAAGTGCAAATATTTTACATTTTCCGTCTCCGCGCACACCAATTTGACCATATCTCTGGTTCTATTGGACGGATTGAGAAGCACGACATCTCATTTTAAAGCTTGAACTTTATTTCACAACTTTCTAAGCTGCCATTAATTGTTAAATAAATTAATAAATAGAACTTACATATCTTGTAAAATACAATTCAAGTCTTAAAATGTGATGTCGTGTGTTTCAATCCGTCCAATAGAACCAGAGATATAATAAAACTGGTACGCGCGAAGCCGGAATATCTGCACTAAATGTGCAATAACTTTGGTAAAAGTTAATTTTATTTTAATTTTCAAAAAAACATATGTTTGTTATGAAAAAACGTAACTATTAACGCATACAAAATTGTACTAGCTATAAAATAAACTTTTTACAGCCATTTAAACATTTCATTTGACAATAACAATTAAACGGAACGCTTTCAAGCTTTGCGACCAAGTTTTTTGGATTCAGGAGGTGAAAATACTTAGGAATAAGTTATTTGCAGCCGTGGCACTCTGATTGGCCTACCATATCTGGCTCCTAGACTATATATAACCATATAATGTTATTACATTTTTTAACTTTCCTTGAATTTAATTTAACTTAAATATATAAAAAATTATACTGTTATTTGATGTTTGAAAAAATGCTTCCATTATTTACTATAAAGGGTGTCAAAATTTCACAATTTTAGATTTTCTCTAACTTTTATTAAGGTGTGTAGGGACTATAACTCTATATTTCTGTAAACTCTAAAATTACTTCACTATCAGAGTCACTTCTGAAAGAAAAGTTACGTGATATGTGGTTATACACATCCAGGTGATTTTATTTTTTGATACAAAAGCCAACTTTTATCACTTAAGAAAGATAAACCAAAGAAGTAATATGATTTCCATACATCTGGCAGTCCTGGGCAATAGAATGATTGATGTTAAACGTATTTTCTTATAGAAAATATTTATCTAATTTTTCATCTTTCGATTTATATGGAAATTATATTTATTGAACAACTTCATGTTGAGCATCTTATTTGAATAATTTTGGATAATAATTAATGTCATAGTTTTAATATTAATTTAAGAAAACAAAATTTCCATATAGAAATATATCGGGTGCTCCAAAATTCACTGAAGATTTTGAATTTTGCGCCTTTTGTGCGGTAAAGTGTAGCCAACAAAAAAAAAAAACAGCGTAACAGCTGACAGTTCAGAGTTATTGAAAATGGAACGCTACATGAAAAAATTACGCATGTTCGTTGTTGAACAATGTTTTTAAAATAATGAAGGTTTAGCAGCTACAATTTGAAAATACAAATTGCAAGATATGGATGTAGACGACATGTGATTTCAACAAGACTGTGCCATACTTCATACAGCCGGAGAAACAATTCAATGCAAGTAGCATGAATCATTCCCTGGTCGTGTAATTTCCCGTTTTGGTGATCAGAATTGGCCGCACAGATCATGCGAGTTTAAAGCCATTGGATTTTTTTCTTCGGGATTTTTTGATGTCTAAGGCTTAATCCCAAAACTTTGGAACATCTTTTATAGATTTCATAATTTACAATTCACCATTATTCAGATACCACATTAAAAAATATATTACTAGCTTTAACTCTTAAGTGTCAATTATTTTTTATTTGAGAGTTATATGTGCAACTATAACCGTGTGAAATTTTCCCTTGTGCTTCTTATTTATTACTAAAAAATAGCTACCGATTCAATGATTCATCAAGTTTTGGCAAAAAAAGGTAATAAAATAAATGGATGCCTACTTTTTGTATTAAAATAAGCACATCGGTTTAAATTCGTGTTAAATATTTTTCGAGTAGCATGTTTTGATATTACATGACTTTTTACGTAAGTCTACATTTTCAACAAGAAAAGAAAAAAAACAAGATAAATCATTCTGTTCTAAAACGATAAGATTTAACTGCCTATGTTTTAATAACGGCGAAAATAATTATATTCAAAAGCTCTTATTATTGAACTCCTCTTAATTTGAAAATACAGTGATGAATTTCTTTGCTAAGTGTAAAATGGATTAACGAATTTAAATTAATCTCAATTTCATCGAGTCTCTGTGTTGTAAACAATGATTAAATTCAGGTTTCGTTTGTCGTATTTCCTTTGATAAGTCATTTATTTTGTAATTTATCTTCTTGGTTGAACATAATCAAACAGTCCATTTAATTGGTATTTAAATGTTACTGTTTATAATAACCTTTAATTTTCTTTTGATTTTAAGAATATAGCCTTATTTTAATAATTTTTTTCAGATTTTATGCACTCGGTTACTGTATTTAATCTTACGTGGATGTTTATAAAATAATAAAATAATTTGTGCTTTATTACAAACTTCGGTATTCATTCATTTTTTAATAAGACGTGATAACAGTTTGTTATACACAGGGTGTCCCGGTATTTAATACAAAAAAGTCGAGTACAAATAGATGAGGTCAAAATAATACCAGTTCATCATATAAATTTTTTTTATACGGGCCTTCGTTAATAAGTTACGGGCCCTCAAAAGTGAAAATTAAATTATAGTCTCTAAACTATTAACTTTAGCATGAAGCAAATTTGGTGATCAATAACACATACATACAGCTTGTTTTTGATATAATAAGTGAAACATCAGTATGCCCACAACGCCAGGAACGGATTATGCCCAATGGTTAACAACCCAAAACATTTGCAGATGACGATCGCAATCTGCTTGTATAAAAAATAAGTTCCCTGAAGAATTTACCAACGATAAGACCCTCTTGGTTCAACTCGGTAAAATTAACAATTTAGGAAATATTTGTGATTTTATGTCACAGTGCACATCGAGCGACGCCTCCACCATTTTTTGTGTTTAATTTTTAATTGGACATAATTACTATCTTGGAACCGTAAATATTTTTAAAATAAGAGCCTAGAAAATCTTAATGTAATGTAATGTAATTTTCATTAACAAAATTTCACAAATACACTTTATACATAACGCAAAATAGAAAAACAAAACAAGAATAAGTTAAAGTAAGTTAAAAAATAGCACAATGGATAAATTATTTCATACACCAATACTGAAATGGGGAGGAGCCCCATCGTGCATGAACCAAACTTTTCTTCGGATGTCTAATGGAACATCGTCAATAATTGCTGCAAATTATTTTACAAAAGCTCCAAATATCGATTTCTATTCAGACGTTCCACAAAAACGTATGGACCTATTAAATTATTACCCTTTTTCGTGTACAAACAAATAACATTCGTAGCCTTAGAATGTGTGTGGAGGTGAAAGGTGTCTATATTGAAAATGTATTCTGATAGCTTTCTTTCTTTTACATTATTTTTTTATCTTTAACTTATTCTTGTTTTTCTACTATTTGTTGTTTAAAATGTGTGTTTCAAATTTTGTTAATGAAAATTACATTAGCAGACAGTAAGATTTTCTCGCCTCTTATTTTGAAAATATATGTAGGTATATGCTTCTAACATAATAATTAAGTGCAATTAAAAATTAAAAACAAAACATGGTGGAGGCACCGCTCGATGTGCATTGTGACATAAAATCAGAAATATTTCCTAAATTGTTAATTTTACCGAGTTGAACCAAGAGGGTATTATCATTGGCAAATTCTCCAGGGAACATATTTGTGATACAGACAGATTGCGATCGTCATCTATGCAAAAATTGTGGTTTGTTAACCATGGAGCACAGTCCGTCCCTGGCGTTGTGGCCACAATTAAGTTTCTCTTACAACATCAAAAACAAGTTGTACGCATGTGTTATCGATCACCAAATTTACATCATGTTGAAGCTAATGGTTTAAAGACTATAAATAAAAATAACTTTTTCATTTTCACTTTTGAGGGCCCATAACTTATTAACGAAGGCCCGTATGCAAAAAAAATATATGAAGAACTGATATTATTTTGACCTCATCTATCTGTACTCGACTTTTTTGTACCAATTACCGGGACACCCTGTATAATTCAGAGAATTTAGGATCTTTTTTAATATTTTCAAAACGTTTATCAATTGTCAATATTTTCAAGTCCTTTAATAAATTATCGTTATTGAAATGGACACACCTATTCTTGAAATATGTGGGATGTTGCAAAATAAAGATTGGACTAAAATAACAACACTTTCCTTATGCCACATTTAATTTATACTTTACCTATGATAATAGTATATTTTAAGATTTTCATACTTTAAATATGTATGTAACAGATGTATTTGTTTGTTAAAGATAAAATAAATCATTTTCGAGATGAAAACGTTTAGTAATAAGAATGTCATTCTAATTAT